AAAATAGAGCTCCAGCCTGATGTTGACCTCACCCAGGGCATTGGACATGCGCCTCTATATAAGATGAATCTAGAGGAACTAGAGGCAGTGAAGACCTACCTTGAAGCCAACCTAGCAAAGGGTTTCGTCACCCCAAGTTCAGCCCCCTACGCCTCCCCAATCCTGATTGCCCGTAGTGGGAAGAAGCTACGATTCTGTGTTGACTTTCGCAAGCTGAATGCTATAACCAAACGAGATCAGTATCCCTTGCCCCTGATAGATGAGCTGATGGACCGACTCAATGGGGCGAAATACTTTACAAAGTTGGACATTCGGCAGGGGTTCCATCGCATCCGAATGGACCCTGAGTCTGAGGACCTGACCACCTTTAGAACCCGCTACGGGACCTATAAATATCGGGTGGTCCCCTTTGGCCTTACAAACGCCCCTGCCTGCTTTCAACGGTTTGTTAACAGTATCTTCTTTGACTACCTGGACAAGTTTATGACAGCATTCATGGATGATCTTCTAATCTATAGCAAGAATCTGGAGGAGCACAAGCAGCAGGTAAACTCAGTGCTAGACCGACTAAAGACAGCAGGTTTGCAAGCCAGCATCCAGAAATGTGAGTTTGCAGTCCAGAGGACAAAATACCTAGGGTTCATCATCAGTACAGAAGGGATTGAGGCAGACCCAGAGAAGACAGCTGCCATTGTGAGATGGCAGGCCCCCACCACAGTCAAAGGAGTCCAGTCATTCCTAGGATTTGGCAATTTCTACCGACGATTCATAAGGAACTACAGCCGAATCGCAAAGCCACTGTACCAGTTGACAAAGAAGACTATCCCATTTGTGTGGACATCAGAATGCAAATCAGCCTTTGAAAAACTGAAGAGGCAGCTGGTGGAGGCTCCGACACTGCGTTACTATGACCCTGAGCGGGAGACTCGTATTGAGACTGACGCCTCTGACGGAGTAGTGGCTGGGGTACTAAGTCAAAGATTTGAAAATGACCTTTGGCACCCAGTAGCCTTCTATTCAAAGACAATGAATGGTGCAGAGCTTAATTATGAAGTTCATGATAAGGAAATGCTGGCAGTAGTCCGGGCCTTACAAGAATGGCGGGCAGAGCTTGAGGGACTACAACGGGAGGAACGATTCAAGATCCTCACTGATCATCGTGCACTGGAATACTTCATGACTACCAAGAAGCTGAATGCACGTCAAGCCCGCTGGGCAGAGTTCCTCTCCCGTTTCTACTTTGAGATCAAGTATCGACCAGGCAAGGCCAACCTGCTAGCAGACGCACTGAGCAGGCCTGAGCAGGTTAGAAGGCAACAGGACGGCCGTATGCAGATCCTCCTAGGACCAGAGACCCTCGACCCCCAGATCACTCCCTCTACAGACATTGCTAGCATCAACTCCTCAGAGAAAGAGAGCATTGCTGAATGCATAGTGTCTCTAAACAAGACAGCCACCTCAATTGAGCCCCTGCGGCAGCAGGCAGATGATGAGAATAGTCCCTATACAATGGAGGACAATGTGCTACGGTACAATGGAAGACTAGTGGTGCCTGTTCAGGAAAAGGAAACCCTGATAGCCAAGCTACTGCAGGAAATTCATGATCAAGCTTCAACAGCACACCCTGGAGGACGAAAGACCCTGGCCCTGGTGCAATCACGCTATTGGTGGGCCACCTGGCGGACAGACGTCCTACGCTATATTCGGAACTGCCATGTGTGCCGGATCAGTAAAATTCCAAGAGATAAGACTCCTGGTTTGCTAAAGCCATTACCAATACCAGAACGGGCATGGCAGCATATTGCAATGGACTTCATGGACGTGCCGAAAAGCAAAACAGGTTATGATGCCATTTTGGTCATAGTATGCCGGCTAAGCAAGAAGACAATCTCCATTCCAACCACCCGGGGAGTTACAGCCCAGGAGCTGGCCCGACTATTCATTCGATTCTACTATTCATACAATGGGGCGCCTGACTCAATTGTCTCTGACCGAGGCCCCCAGTTCATATCAAGCTTTTGGGATGAGTTTACACAGATCCTGGGCATAAAACTGAAACTCTCAACGGCGCATCATGCACAAACTGATGGACAGACAGAAGTGGTGAATCAATACATTGCCACCCGTCTTCGCCCCTATGTCAGTTACTACCAAGATGACTGGGATGAGTGGCTGCCCATTATAGACCATGCCTCCGCAGCTACCCCAAATGCTTCCACAGGGATCTCCCCCTTCCTCGCAGCAAATGGATATGAACCCCGAATGTCATTTGACTGGCAACCACTGGCGGAGAAATTGGACATGAATGAGAAAAGAAATCGAGAAGCAGCAAGGAGCTTCATTCACCGAATGAGAGAGATCTGGAACCAGGCGAGTAAAGGCATAAGGACAGCACAGGAACAGATGAAGAGGCAGACTGACAAGCACCATCGAGAGCCTGACTTTGCAGTAGGAGATTTTGTTTATCTAACATTGAAATCATACAAGATGGATCGACCAAGCCGTAAACTGGCAGAGCAGAATGCCGGCCCCTTCAGAATCCTGGAAAAGGTGGGCAATGCCTACAAACTGGACCTCCCCATAACAATGAAGATTCATTCAATCTTCTCCCCAGACAAGCTACGCAAGGACTCCAGAGACCCTCTACCTGGCCAGACTATCAGACCACCAGACCCAATTGAAATAGATGGTGAGAATGAATGGGAAATAGATCGTATACTGGCCAGTCGAATAAGCCGGAGCAAGCTGCAGTATCGGGTGCGCTGGAAGGGGTTTGATGAGGATTCTTCATGGTACCCCGCTCGCGACTTCAAAGGATCACCACACGCCATACGCGACTTCCATGAGGCTAACCCTACAAAAGCTGGACCCCCAAGGCGACTAGATGAGTGGCTGAAGGCATGGGAGACAGACAGCTACCTGAAGGACGAGGTTGATGACGACCTACCGGCATGAGGACATGCCTGCCCCTAGACCGGGGGGTGATGTTAGGCTCAGCGTCCGACCGAGCCCGACCGAAGGCCGGTGCCCGGTTAGACCCGACGTCGGATTAAGCTCGGCGCCCGATTAGGCCTAATCCATATCACGTGACCACACGACCATGCAGGTGGTTATAATCCACGCAGGCCCCAGCACCCCCTTTCATCCCATCAAGCTTAGTATTTCGTTATATAGCAGTTAGCAACGCAGAGAGTTTCCTTCTTATGCAGCTCGCATTCGCTCCCTAACATCTATGACACATACAACTTTGATAAGATTGAATTTTAAGAAGGATAAGAACATGGAGAATGGGTTATAACTGCTTTTAAAGAAGCTAATTTCATCATTTCTTCATTTTTTTCAGGAGATTTGATTATAATCATTGAATATATATTCATGAATAATCATGTCATTCCATTATTGATAATCTTGATCTTCAAAACACACTTGAAGAATTGATATAAACAGACAGATTTGTCCAGCAATTATAGAATTGCTATATCAGATACTGAATTTACAAATAATGAAATTAAATTTGAATAACTGAAACATTTCAATACTGCTGCTACAGAAAAAAGACAGAAGAGAAGTTATCAATTGCTTTTAATGAATAATTATGAATCTCATATCACTGAGAAGTGCATATAATATATATATCTTTATAAGATAATTCTATATGAATTTTTATCACATGTCACTCATTTACTACAATATCTGAATAGTCTATCATTTCAGCAATATAAGCATTACCATTCAAAAGCAGTCAACTATGCCACATGTCATAGTCTTGTTAAGTATGAAAAATAACAGTTTCTACAAGACCTCTTAGCTATGTGAAAGCAGATCTTTAAATCTGATACAATAGCTGCAGAATGAGTTCAACATGGCATATATTCATGAAATTCTAACTGAGTTCTTGATACTTTTAAGCAGTGAATCTCATCACCTCCTTCACTGCAGATTTATAAAGATGAGAATGATTTAGATCATATATCTATCTCTTTCTCTTAGCTATTCTCATCAAAGACAATTCAAAAGCTGAAACATCATATTAATATTGTGAAAAATACCATACAAAGTATTAGAGATACTCTTGATTTATAATCACTCACTTTGACATGTCATTTAAACAAGATATTCAAAGTAAGTCTAATTAACATGAAACTTAATGAGCAACAGATTACTGAATTAAAGAACTTTCTCAATGTCAGTAAACACTGCAGAGCTAAAACAATCTGTTACCAGGTTCAAGTAGAGGAAGTTCTCACTATTAAAGATGTCAATAGAAAAATCAAGCAGTGTAAGAATAATAAAGCTGAAAAAGAGCAGAATAAGAAGCAATAAAGACTTAGAGTTGGTCTCATGAAAATTGACAATAACCCACTCACATCACTGACAGAAGAGGAATTAAATCAATTTAGAGATGACACACATACTGAGAATGATGTAGATAACCTTTTTATTATAGATTAGCTACTGGTTGTTGATATAGAGTGCAATAATGAGGATGTGATTCAAGATTTTTATCATTTCAATGTTTTTATCGTTTTGGTGTGGCGCACCCACACGAGGTGTGGGTTGCGCAGCGGCACGATTAATCTGTAATGTTCTAATCGGCTGGAATCATCGATGCTTTCAAGCTCAACCCCCAGAAAGTTAACTAATCATTATTCTGCGGCCCCATGAAGCCGGCTTGCAAAAGTTTGGGAGCCTTTGAGTTTTACGTAGTTACAGTACAGGCTCATCCTGAGAGCATTCGCGTATCTATCTATGCCTTTCAGACGGTTGGAGGACTTCATCATTGTCATTGTTTGAAAATGCAATTGTTACTTCAACCCCCGTCTCTACAGCTCAACGACGCTAAGCAACGCAGTGGACGTTGTGGGGTCAGAGTTTCGTTAACGAGTTTTGCTTGCAAACAACATGTTGTTACCAACCACTAAACCCTCTCCGGCAGAAACTCGGTCCGCGACTCGAAATCCGGGTTTAAAGTCTGTGTTCACGTTGAAAAACTACGAAACATGTCACCAAGTCCACTTGTTGCCAGCCAAAAGGTCCTTGATCTTCTGAAAAGGCTCCACGCCGCCTCCCTAAGTCAAGAACGCAGTTATTCGTTCCGCTTCTGGAGGTTGACTAGAAAGCTCCGGACTTTGCTCCTCAAAACATCATGGATGACTCAGGATGACGATTTTACAAGGGATAAATTCGTCGCCCTGGAGGCTGTCAAAAGCGAGTTTCTGTATCTCATGGCCCGATCCACGGGTGCAACAACTATAGTCGAGGCCGGGACTAGCTTCGGCGTTTCTACCATTTACTTGGCTTTGGCCGCGGGACAGAATGCGGCTTCACAATCTGCTTCTCCCATTACACCTGGACAGGGTGGTAAGGTAATTGCCACGGAGAGGGAGCCAGAGAAGGCGAAGAGGGCACGGGAACACTGGAAGGAAGCCGGGGATGAGGTTGAGCCGTGGATAACACTCTTGGAAGGGGATTTGAAAGAGACCCTCGCCATGGAGATAGATAAGGTGGACACAATCGATCTCCTGCTTCTTGATAGTATGTCTCTCCTCCTCTGATTGTGGCCTTGCCCATATTTACGTACTTATTTTACGTACTTCATCAACGATCTAGTTTGGGCACCCCTTGCGCTGTCCGTCCTGAAGATTGTCCAGCCGAAACTTCGACATGGAGCACTCATCATAGCAGATAATACGGCAGGTTTTCGGCCTGCCTATAAGGACTTTTTTGACTACTCGCATGATCCGAAGAATGGATTCAAGTCAATGACTATCCCATTCCACGGAGGACTCGAGGTGATGGTATACCTCCCAACAGCCTGATATGTTATGCATATTTTCCTTGGTTTTTTTTTTTTTTTTTTTTTTTTTTTTTTTTTTTTTTTCCATTCTCCAATCTCTATATCTCCCCTCGCACCCTCTCAAATACCCCGATCCAGAACTTGTCACTTAATAAAATTAGTTATTAAAAGCAAAAATCTTCATGTAATGTACATGTTCCTGTTCCTTTTGTATGACAACCCAGCGTAATCAGAATACCAAACCTATCTTTCTCTAATCTGTTCATTTATCATTGTGCCTGTCAAATTTCGTATGCCAGCGCCTAACATTTCCTCCGCCCACCACAGCTCTAGAAACGAGCTTCCAGCTCGCATATATTGGAAGGGGGGTTCGCACCACTTTGGCTGGGCCTACCGACTCAATAACATGTCAAAAAAAATGACGTTTATATGAAAATTTTTTAGTACCTACTAGAGTTTGGAGGGTAGATCGTTTCGCGTTAGTTCTTTCCTGTCGGTAATAGGGGATGATATTCATAGTTAACCGCAATTAACCGGAATTGAGTGTGAGGGTCGTCGCGCCGTGTCTTAAGTGGTTGGGAGTGGTAAGGCATTGACCTTAGATTAAAGGCATAAACTGGGATGTTGAGGAACATCCCCTCAGAAAATCTTTAAACCCAGTCAAACAACCATAAAAGAGGAATATGATCAATACAGAAAATGAAACATAGGGTCAATTCCAACAAATGGCGAAGATCTAGCCAGCTGTGGTAGAGGGATGAGGAGGAAACAACATAGAAAAGATAGATTTGGCACCGATTCTGCAGAAGGAGTGCCCTAGCAAGACAGCACGGGATATAATACAAGAGCTCGCACAACACCCGTCACCCAACCTCCAAAAAGCCAGCATCTTAACGAGTAGATCCCCGCTGTTGCAATCGGCTTCTAAGGTATTGACGAACAATACCCTCAACGCTACCCATATCATGTTTCGGATGTCTAAACGTTGTTAGTTAGCATCTGACTGCAAACTCCCCCACCCGAAAAAGGACCACAAATCAAAAGGAGACAGAGAAAAGGGAAAAAGGAAACGGGGAAATACCTCATGTAATACAATCTGGCGCGTCTCTTCCGCTTCTCTGTCCGCTGTACAATCTCCACAGACTGCACGTTCGGACTAAAAACCTTAATCCACATCTCACATCCGATCCTCGTCAATTTATTTCGCAGCAAAAACGAAGTGTCCAACCCTCTGGACCGAATGTTCAGGCATACGCCGGCGAACGGGTCCCCGGATTTGAAGGTGACTCGTAGGATATCTCCCACTTTGACACCGTGGGGGTTCCGTCGATCGAAGAGCGCCTTTCTTTCGCCGGTAGGGTCGTATATGGCGAGCTGGTCCTTTGTGAAGGCGGAGATGGGGTCTTTGAATGCCCTGCATTTGCTTTCCGGGGGAGGAGGCACTATTATTTTCCTCCCGACCTCTACAATATAGTAAGTGGCATGTTAGCATGAGAGGTTTTTAGCAACCGCGAATTTTGCAAAAATCACAACCACAGATCCAGGGGGAAGAGCTTAAAAAAAAAAAAAAATTCTCTAATATGGGGGAAGCATACGTTTGTCAGGCCTATGGAGATTTGGTATCTGGCACAGAAACTGCGGCGGAAGGTTCTTCGGGAACGGAATCTTCTCCTTTGGCGGGGAGAAGACCGTGTATAGAGAGTGGCGGCCGAACTCGTGGGTCTTGAATCCGCGGCTGACTGCGCCCCAGGAGCCCAATGGCCGCATAGCGGGCACTGAAGCGGCCTTTTCTACAACTGAGAATAACGAGTGCGTATTTACCTACCTAGATATATACCTCAGGGTACCTATAGACGTATATGTCTGGTGGGATTGGATGTTCTGTATGTTGTCTGTGAATGTTTCTTTTTCGCTCGGCCAAAGAAAGAACTGGACATGGTCCGTGCACAGCGCCAAGACCTGATCTTTTTGCAATTGTCGATATATGAATCCAACCAAAATAAAAATCTCAACTGGACAGATATAATATATAACAATTCAGATTTAACTCCACGCTGTCTCTTCTGCGCTAATTGCTCGTGCCCCCACTATTCGACGAGGAGGAATTGGCATTCGACTGGGCTTGCTGCAGTTGTTGCCAATGACCTCAGGCCTCCATTGCGATTTTTTCCGAAGAGCAAGCGGGGGGAGGCAAGATTCTCGTTATCAGAAGAAACTGTGACAATGTCGCAGGGCATTATGAACAGAAAACTTTTTTGTTGGAGTTGTCTCAGTCAGGTAACTGGCCTAAGGAAGGGGCAGGCAAGATTCTTCAACAATTCAGGGGCTTGTAAACGAGGTATATTCTCCCCGCTCCATACGTATATACAGTATATGATTGGCGCATATCAAAAATTTTCCCGTATGATCGAGCAACTGACCCTATATAACAGCATGGGTCCCAAAATTCAAACCAACCTCATCTCAGAGCCTTGATGAGCTCCTCACCATATTCCGTGAACACGTCTTTGTTCCCGCGAGCCTCAAGCCCCACCAGCGAAGACTCATATTCAATGAAGAGGCCACGAATCTCCTCCACCAGAATCCCATAACAGTAACCCTTCACAGCAACACTGGAGAATCCTACTCCCTGCGCCCAGTAAAATTTAATGAAAGGCCCAGTAACAAAGTGGTAGAGGACATTATCAACCTCATGAGAGAACCGAAGGATTGGTATTCCCTCGTTCCGCTACTGAAGGGACTGCACAGCTCGAAACGCACCCCCAACATCCGGCTCTGGGAATTCATCGTGCGCAAAGCGGGCGAAGCAGGCATGAATTCCGTCATAATCGACTGTGCAGAGGAAGGGCGCAGAACAGGCTTTTCACTCGGTGACTATCTACTGGCGGAACTGTTCTTCTCCAACCTGCGCCTCAAGGCTGAGTCCGCGGGATTCAAGGGCCCCGAACTCGAGAAGGCACTTCGACAGGCTAAGCATGTTGCCATGCTGATGAATGCTGAGGAGCATGTGCCGGTCGATAAGACGAAGCCGGACCCACGACAGCATCCGAATATCATTGCTGTTTTGTTGGAATTGAGTGCGGCTCGTGTCCTTGATGCGTTTGAAGGGAAGGATGTCAAAGGTGATGTCCGTTCGTATGCTAGGAAATTGCTGGGTACGTGGGTGCTAAGAGAGAAGTTCGATACTATCAAGTATCCCAAGAAGGTTGTGCGGCATGTCACAGACCTGCCGTCTGTTAGGAATGGTATTGAGTTGGCATTGCAGGTCGAGGAAATCAAGAAGGATGAGAAGCTGAGCGAGGCTCTTAGAGAACGGTTGAATGAATTAGATACACATGTCAAGGAGGCTGAGGCTTAGGAGTGGATCATTGGTGGCGTTTTATATAAAGTCAAGCGTCCGTACCATATCATATATGAATCTACTAGACTTATTTCCCTTCCTTCTACACTATTGTAGATTTTGTCTTTTAAATATTTTTGGTGTTCAATAAGAGAAACTTTTTTATCCTATAATAAGATCTTGTATAGGGCAACAATGGTACTTCAATGCATATCTTTGCCTATGAATGGCATGCGAAGGTACGTATTACGGCAGTTACTATGTAAGTCTTGGAACATAGATAGAACATGGAAGGGAGTAGAAGTTTCCATTCCACCATGACATTACACCCTCTGGGTTAGTTGTCGAAATATGTAGCGACAGATATGCAAATTATAGACCCGTGAGGACATGGTAAACGATGAAACTAGAAACGCAAGTAAGACTTAACAAAAAGCTCACAGGTCATAATGTAAATCATATCAACACAGAGAGAGTGTATAATCGTCGCAGAAGTATCCTCGGGCATCCAATGTACACTTCCCTCCGACGACAGCTGGACCAGCCACACATATCTATCAGAATACTGTTAGCAGCCAAAATGAGAAAGGGTCAGTGCTATGAATGCATACTTTTCCTTCAGAGGAATCCCCAGTATCACTAGCATTCTCCTCCTTTTCGTAGATTAATTTTATTTCCAGATTACTCAAAGGGGGTCCAAAATGGCTACGACCAGGAATTCTCCTATAGTCAAACGAATTAGTCTGGCAAATAGCACCAGCAACCGAAGGCGCAGTCAACGCATATAGAACTCGTGCGCCAGTGAATACCCTTAAGTCTGTCAACTGGTCAGAGGTAATTTGGTATTCCGGGTTTGCGTCAATGCGATGAGAGATATAAAGCAGGCGGATATTTTCAAGAGACAATTCTGCAATGGGCCCTAAGCTGGCGAGCCTAGTGAGCATGTTCTGAGTGGGCATGGTGCCGGCATCGAGAGATTGGCACTGCAGGAATCGGCAAATCTTGGCAACCGTGCCTATCTGTGGAGACATGGATTTCGTATGGTAGTTATGCATTGTTTCTGAAGAGGCTACGATTACGGTTGGGGAGATACCGGCGGTTGCAAGCGCGAAATCGACATGTTCGCCAGACACGGAGTTGAACGCGACGGAGGCGTTTCCGTACAGAGCGGCGAGGATTATGCAAAGCGGAAACGAGCGACATAGCGAGTCGATGGACAGCACCAGGTCAGTTGCAGTCAGGTGCAGACCCCTAGGAAGTGCGGCGCCCACCCCCGCAATACCAGCTACCAAAACCTATCAGGACAAGTTAAACATAAACACAGAAGTGGATTTGGAGAAGGGAAAGCAAGTTCCCATACAGCAGGTGAATACTCGACAAAGCTGGCGGAGTCTTCTGAAGAAGCCCAGAGAGCTACAATGGAAGGTGGTGGTGTGGACGAGATAGTAGCTGGTACGTCCGTGCCTATCACGCCTTTCTTGTCCTTGACCAACTCGTGCCACACGGCCACTTCGATACCACCTCCGATTCCCTCTGGCACTTGACTCCAATCCATGTGCCGGCTTCCGTGGTTCGCAACCCAAATCGCACCCCTCAGCGATGGCACGGCCTTTAATAATACAGAGGGCTCCAATGTGCCAGCTTCCGCAATGAGCAGGTCGGCCCCAGCTAGTGCAAGATACGCACCAAGCCTTTCAGAAGGTATCTTACAGGGTATTAAAACGGCTTTGAAGCCATAAAATGCTCCCGCTAGATTTTAATCGTGTTAGTGAACATTACTAATTGATATTCACTCAAGGAGACATCGCTATAACCAACCGAAAATAACAGCAATAGATTCCACCGAGTCAGGGAGATATAAAGCCACAGTCTGCGCCTTTGATTCGTAAATGTACTGGCCGATGATATTGATTTCCTGGGAGACATCATCCAACCTATGCTCCACAACATTCTTCCCGAGTACAGTGTAGAATTTCCCTTGTTTCCCAGCTGGCGTCCCATCAGTGGCCACTGATCCCCGGAGAGCCGCTCGCCAGACATCGCGAAGATCCCCATTTCGCCCAGCTGTCCATTTCGGCTTGTCGGGGTCCTTCACGTTCAGTCCGCTCTTTAGCGGATAGCCGTGGGGTACGTCATGGGCGCGGAGAACAGCGGACTCTCCTGGTAACCTGATAGAGGCTTCAATGGCTTGTCGGGCAAGAAAGTAAGGGTGAGCATCGGGATCCTTCGAGAAGAATAACTTGTAGCCTACGAAAGCCGCTATGAGTGTGGCTATCAGCGTTGAATGGGTACTCCAGTCGGCGAACAGGTCAGCTAGCATGGTATTAAGGTCCGCCATGGCCGAAGTCATCGTGGGAGCTGCGACGACTGTTATCTTCACATTCAATAGAGGCAATTGCGATATTCACTCGCAACCCCGAAAAGCTAAAAGGAAGACAAGACAGCCCCTGCGAAAACCACGAGAGATGAAGTTTGGGAGCTGAATTGGTAGCGGACAAGGTACAGTTAAACACCTGCGGGATTACCGCAGGTCACGTGTTGATGTTTAATCAGCAGAAGAAGTCATAGTTAATGGTAAATGCAAAGATAAATAGGTAAACGCAGGAGCATCAGCTAGATATTTGCACTTATCTTCTCTTCTTAGAAATATATCATCGAAGTATTTGTAAACCCTGTTATCAGCCTTTCGCGCTAAGTGCGGCAAACGCGCTTGAAATTGTGATGGTGTTGAGCGGCAAACAAAACAGAGGGAACGCCTTTAAGGCCTCATAGATTTACGATCCTTAACCAACCAACAATCATGGTCGATGCGACGGAACTGCAGCTGTGACTTCCGTATAACCAATGCTTATGTTTTAGCTCCCCGCAGTCCAATGATTCTGTGATATATTCGTGCAGAATCAACAGGTAAGGGTAAGTAGGGTAAGTAGGGCTCTCACAGGTGAGTGAGCTGTGAAACGTCCATTATATCAATACGCTTTAGTCGTGTTGAGTTGTTGAGAACTTAGCTGACGATAACGCATCTTTAGAATTGGTTTCTTTTCTCTTCTTTCTTTTATAATCCTCTCCTTATGGCATCTCCGTCGTTCCCTTCTACTCCGAAACCACAGGGGCACGAGGTTGTTCCGCCCTCCCCTGGCACCTGGCGACATCCCAAGCTCAAGGAAATTGTTCGAAGGCAGAATGCGTCAACTTTTGGAGACCGGAATGTGAAGAAGATTTTCCTGAACGGAGGTTGTCTAATCTTATCTGGATTTTTGGGAACTTTGTTCCGACGATGGTATGGAGAAACATCATGTTAGCAATGCTCGCGGGCTGGGTGCTAACAAAACAACAGTTGCCTGTGGCTGGGCTCCCTTCTTAATATCCCGACATATCCCGACATAATTCTCCTTGCTTTACGCCTCCTTCTCCTTGTAAATATTGTGGTTGCTCTCTACCCAATTTATTGCCCTAAGGATGATTTGTCTGACATACCATTAACACCTTCCCAACGGTCCCTCCTTGGCCTCGATCCCAGTTACAGTACTCCTACTACACCTGGAAGCGTATATGTTACCCCTCCTCGATATCGAGTATCTTCCAGCTCGCGAAAAGCAAGCCCAATCAGCCCAAGTCCATCGTTCTCTGGAAGATCCAGAAGCATGTCTGGTAGCCTGTCTGGCAGCATGTCTCAAGAGAGTAGCACTCTACCATTTTCCCCTTTGCCCAGTCCATTATTTCATAAAGCAATGGGGAACGGCACGAGAGAGGTTGGACGAAGACAGAGCTTTGGGTCCCCATCTTCTTTTGGGCGATCCAGCTTACGTGAAGGGAGCTTATTGCGGGCACCCTCGACACCAAGCCCGAGCGGAAACAGGAATGGGAACGGGAACGGCAAAAGCACCAGCGGGATCCTGACCAACAAGTGGCTATATGAGAGAACCAATTCTATGTCTCCTACCAGCAGCGTTTATAGATCATAAAGTACGCCTGTTGGATGAAGAATGTATATGCCTAAATTTACTGAGACAAATTGGAGCAAAGGTCGCGTATGGGAATGAATGGGACGGCATGGATTAGTTTCTGGTTTTTAATTTTCTTTCTTTTCTTTTCTTTTCTTTTTTTTTTTACCGTTTTTGTCCTCTGTTAGATATTTTTATTGAAGGATGGGTTAGGCTCTTTTCTACTTCTACTACTACTACTATATTATTATACCATTATACCAATATACCAGTCACTACCTCCTCCTAAATATATATATCCTGTTATTTAAACTGAGTATTGTTATAAGAATCGGAAGTTGGTTGCTGAACATGTACCCAAGGTCCTCCAAAATTCAATCCAAAAGCCCCGAGTTAATCTTTAATTAGCCTCTCCTCACCAAAACTGCCCGGTTCTTGGCAGCGCCTGCTGGCGAATCCAAGCTAGTTTGCCGCGATCTCGTATCCACACTTCAAACCTGGCATCAACCAACAACGTAACAAGTAACAAACCCCAATGTGTGGTGCGGAGCTGCCAGTTTACTCGATTCATTCACCTTGGATTCCAGGGATTATTTACCTTCTTTCCCCACCACTATTGCATGGCCTGTAGAGTGCGACAGCCAGGGTAAACACCCCTCCAGGTAATGGGGGGTTCGGAATCCAAGCTTGCCTTCAAGCAAGGCATATTTAGACTTTCAGAGGAGACCAACATTGCCGCTGATGATTCGTATTGGACTGGGGTATGTGTCTGTATACGCAGCCAGACGATTGGAATTTATGTTCGGAAGCTGACAGGCCGAGTTAGTTCTGGGAGCTCCCTGAGTCAACCGAAGATGTCTTTAGCTTGTTCTCTCCGGCTGATATACGACGCACTCGAGATGCCTCGATAGCCAATTTAGAGACGTTGATATTGGCGATTACCTCCCGTCTCATCGTCCTCAAGAACCATCCCTCATTTCCAGACCCAGATCTCGCCCCAGATAGAGACGCTCTGAACTGCATTCGTGTCCTCACCCGTATTCTCCCCTTCATATACGAGTCGGAAAATTTAGAAGCATGGGAGAATAAATTTTTCTGGGGAAAGAGGAGGAAGAAGCATCGAAATGCGCAAATAGCGTCGCAGGTCTTGTTCGATGGAGCTGAGGTCGAGGATGAAATGCGCCGCCCAAATCCAGAGGAACATGCTAACGATTACTATGACGCCAAACCTTTGGCGGAAGAACTTATTGATACCTTGGTGGATTTGCTGTTCTACGCAGGATTCACCGTACCGACGACACCGAATGCGAAGGCAAAGGTGGTGTACTCAATATGGCAGAGCGGAGTGGGCTGTAATATTGCTATGGGGTCGAATAGGGAATTGGAAAGCAATCGATGCGAGATATTGAGACTCTTGTTAACGTTATCAAGCAAGTCTATGTATATGCCCTCTAGTAAGCTCGCCAGTTCAGATCATGTTATAGTTGCACCCGTTTCTAACACCTCTTTCAGCTTTGCTCCCAGTTAAAGGAGTCAAAGCCATTACGTATCTTGTTTCATGCCCCGACAAGCAGGTGGTTCTATCGCTCCTATGCTCCTTGTTGAACACAGTAAGTGTTGAGCATTGTGAGCTCTCAGATCTTGGTTGTTCCTAACTAGCCTTCTAGACAATAAAGTATAACCCAACACCTTGGAGGCTGCCATACGACTATGTTGTTTGGAAAGACCCAAAACAAATTCTTGTCATCTACAGTCTACAGTTGCTCCTGGCTCTGCTTCTTTATCCCATTCCGGAAGATGGACGCGGAACTCCTCCCAAAAACTACTATCGACATTTCTTTGGCCGGTTACACCGCCCTCAAGATTTCCAATTCATCGTTGAGGGCATGACTAGAATTCTCAATCAGCCGGTTGGTTATACCCAAGCGTCTACTCCACAGTTCAATACTAATTGAGAATACAGATGCAAGCAACAACGTCGTACCTACCTGGCAGCCAAAAATCAGTCAAATGGGCGCCGGAAATGATTATGCTTTTCTGGGAAGCGCTGCAATGCAATAAACGTTTCCGATCTTATATCATTGATTCCGGTCGGGCTCATTATTTCTTGATTCTTTGCATATTCTATGCCATCGAGAACAAAACCGATACTTCGAAACTCGGTGTAGTAAAAATGTGTGTCTTTGTCCTGCAGACACTAAGCGTTGAGCCAAACTTCGGAAAGAATCTCAACAAGAAGTTCGAATGCCAGGATACACTGCCGCAAAGTGTACGACTGCAAAATTTTCGAGGCTCCTATGCTGATTTCTTGATCATTGTGAGTGCTCTTGGCTACTTTCACCTTATTTTCCTGTCTAATCAAGTGTTACAGTCCATACATACTCTTTTGACGACAAGCAAAGGAAAACTTGATGCGGTATATCCGGCGTTATTGGCAATTATTAACAATGTCGGCGCCTACTGCGAGCATTTATCAGCCACTACCTGCTCTAAAATTATTCAACTCTTCGCATCAATGTCCTCCCCTAGCTTTTTACTCGCCAACGAAACGAACCACATCCTCCTGCATTCACTTCTTGAATTTATCAACTCCGTGCTTGAGCACCAGTATACCAGTAGGTAATTTCGCAAAACCAAATGTTTCTAGGACATGATCTAAACTAGTACGCAGAAAATCCTTTACTTGTATATGCTATTCTGAAGTCCGCGAAGCAATTCGAGGCCCTCCGGGCCTTCACTCTAGAGAGTGGACAAGAAGAAATGGAAAGACAACACCAACGGAAGAAAACCAATTCAAGTAGTGGTACCAATGACCCACTATCAAGTCCTACGATTTCTCAGGCCGGAAATGACAACCGTGGCTCTGGCGTTGGACGACGACCCTTAACACACGTACCGGAGGATGGCACCTTTGCAATCGGAGACGATTCCGATGAAGAAGAAAACGAGCGGCAAAATACGCCTTCGCAGTCATCTTTCCCTCTTGAAGACTCTCGAGACACCTCAGTTTCATCGAATGCCGATGAAAATGTTCCGCTACAACTTCGTGGAATGTCCGAGAAAGCCCGTGGGAAAATGCCCGCTGGTCAGGTAACATTTTCAAGACAGAACAGCATCACAAGTCTAAGTAGTTATACACCGACTATTCCCTCTAGCTCCAGCGGTTTCATTCCTACAGCTTTATGGGTGAGCTAAACGACCTCCACACAACGTGTCTTGGAAAACTTTAGAGAGTTATTATTTTTGCTAACAAACGACAATTCCAGATCGAATCCTGGGTCCCTGAACTACCCTTACACACAATCATAACCCTCATCTCCTCAATACATCCACACATCCCCTCATCCGCCCTCCAGTCCTCTCTAAACCCAGAAGCACGAGCTCTAATCTCCAACCTCCCCTCCTTCGCCGAGGAACCCTACGTCCACGCACTCCTGGCCGAACCCTCACCAATCCGAGTGCACCTGTTCGAATGGTCCCCGCTATCACTCGGCTGGTACGAATCACTCCTATGGGGTTTCATATTTGCCAGCGAGATGGTAGTGGGTTCTGCGTCGGGGTCGACGCCGGGAACTGTTGGGGTGTGGAATGGGACCTCCATCAAGTTATTCAAAGTGCAGGAGACGGCTGCTCAAGGCCCAACGTTGCTGGCCCCCAAGGGGGCTGTGGATGCGGTTGGTAGCAATCTTATGCAGCGTATTGGGAACTTAAATCTCCGTGGGCGAGCGGGCGGGAGCGGTTCAGGTAGCACGCAAGATGGTCAAGGGGATACAAGTGGTGTGAGGATGAGGGAGGTTTAAGACATTTATTTTATTGTTTTTTGCTCTTTTTTGGCTTAATTATTTAATTGTTATTTTTTAATTTCAATTTTACTTTTTTTTTTTTGGTTTGGTTTGGCGGAATGTGTTGAGAATTGGGACGATATAAACTTCCCTTCTCCTTTGGCTTCTGGAACAATAAAAATATTGTAGTGTTAGTTACAACTGTCAGACAGGGTTTAATTCGTTTTCTTTTTCTTTTTCATATTTCCTCCACCCATCTTCCGTTTTATCTTTTCAATGGATGTCTCTGCTTCGAAATAGCCAGCGTTTTGTTTTATAAGCTCAGATAACCCCCTATCGTCAAGTTTGGTGTGGTCGATCCCATGATTATATGTATACTCGTCTCTATGCAGTTTTTCTCAATCATAACCTCTTTATCGTCTACCGAAATGCTTATTTCGAACCAGCCATATTCTATACCCTGCATATACGGCCCCAGATTTTATGCTTAGGCAATACAATAATATACTGTTAAAATTTTGAGGGGAATTAAACTCACATATAACCAGTCTCGCCCTTTTCTCCGTGTATCTTCGTATAAATCTTGGGTGCGAATCGAAGATTTAAGCTTACGCCACTGTGTGATTCTTGGGTCAGACGGAACCAGCCGGTGTGACCCGTGGGTTAATCTATAACCCACGATATTATGTTTCATGGATTAGTTATTCCAATATCCACTGATTCCTAACCTCTTAGACAGCGAGACGGCTAGACGGCTAGACGGCTAGATGGCTAGACGATTTTAGACGCCAATTCAACCTTTAGATGACCCCATCATTGCTCGGAGCTCACCCTCCGCCCGCCACAACCATGCTGCTCGTCGCAGCTGTCCCCATCACTTTCCTGTCTTTCCATCTTGCACGCGTAGTCGCCGCGGTTCCCGGCTCGTCTTCACTACAGAATATCCTCAAGAACACTGACCGCAGTGACTTGTATGGCTATCCAACCGATCTGACGAGAGGGATTATCCCTGTAACTATATATTCCCTTCTTCTTATAATTTCGGTTGAACCTCTGCGGGAGATCCAATTGCTAACTGACATTGGATGACTCTTCATCTTGGTTAGATCCCGGTCCATTCGCATAAGTACGCTTTTCTTGCCAGCTTTTGACAGGATGGGGCCGGCCATTGTTGCCACTCGGGGTTTGCGGGAGAGGTTAGATATCTGCCTGTGTTTATGCGCTGACATGTAGTGTTGATGACAGTGACTATTGGAGAGACCTGCCGTTCTATTCAGGTATGCGGCTGCGGCTGAGGAATCCTCTTTCATACCCATTAGATATATAGGATTGCAGGCTGACAACTTTACCGAGCATGTAAGCTCTCTCCGCCGGCTGCATGTCTGTCGAAGCGGACGTCTGGCTGTACGATGGCGAACTCCTCGTACGCTCCTTTGCCCCTGCTGCATATTTCCCTCCTGTATCAGAACAGTTGATGACATCTACAACAGGTCGGCCATGATCAATCCTCCCTAACCAGATCACGCACCCTACAATCCCTTTACATAGATCCGATCATGGATGTCCTCCGCCGCCAGAACCCGCACAACCCTTACCTCTCCGAAGAGACCAGGAAGTAAGGGCAGCCCACACGTTTCGTATCAATTCCGACAAAACACCGCTCTAACCTGATTTGCAGCGGCGTCTACGACGCAGACCCCTCTCAAACCCTCTATCTCTTCATCGACGTCAAAACGTCCGGCCCCAAAACCTGGCCCCACGTAATTGCAGCACTCGAACCCCTCCGCCACGCCAACTACCTCACCACCCTCCGCAACAACGATACGCTAATCCCAGGCCCAGTCACTGTCATTGGCACAGGGAACACACCACTAAACCTCGTCGGCCCCGTCAGTAACCGTGATTACTTCTACGATGGCCCCTTGGCTGATCTTGACAAGGAATGGTTTGAAGATATAACCAAGTTCGTATCGCCGATTGCATCAACGAATCTTGAATACGCGATTGGTGGTGGTGGTGGTCGTGGTGATCGTCGTGCGATTCCGTTGTGGGCACCGGGGGAGGGATACCAAGAGGGCAACGGGAAAGGGAAGGGGAAGGGGATGGAGATGGAGTGGTTGAATTCTGAGCAGCTGGAGAAGTTGAGGGGACAGATCGAGGCGGCGAAGAAGAAGGGGATTGGCGCAAGGTATTGGGGAACACCTGGGTGGCCGGTGCGCGTGCGGAATGAGGTGTGGAGGATGCTGCTGAGGGAAGGGGTTGCATTGGTGAATGCCGATGATTTGGATGGGGTTCAGGGGTATTTTTAGATTGGATAGAGTGGTTGGGTATATAGAGAGGTACTGTGCTAGACTAGGTATACCATGAACTCTAGGATTGAATAGTTGATGTCCTCGTCCTTTTTTCGAGAGGTTTTTGGCTTTTGAGTTTACTTTGCTTTTTACTCTTGATGCCATTGTCGATCTCTCTGGAAAGGGGCTGTGACGAAGATCGAGGGATCTGTCTGGCTTATGCATAGATTTATATCTCCTCGTACCCCTTTTAAAGCACGTCATAAATAGTTCTGTATGTCGCGTTGTCGCACTCGATTTACTTGTTGTTCCCAGACCCTTTAAAATTCGATAATCACCCAGAAGTGCCACTGCGCACTTTAAACACGTGGGGATTTTTCTGTTGCGTAACCTACACTATCGTGGTTCGGCATGGAAGATCCGGGAGACAAACAATTCTTGTACATACATACTTCCATGTCGGAAACTAACCGAGTGTGTGAAACAGCGCATTAGACAGCAGTGTTGGAGGGGATTCGGATTCGGCTACGTGAATCCAGTGGCACTGTGGAATCTTCGAGGTTCTGTGCAACAACCATGGCACACAACTGGCACAGTGATTTGTTACGGTGGTTTGGAGTTGTTTGCCATACGGAACACGCGTTGGGAAACCCATGGAAGGAAATAAAAGAAACAGAACGTAAAATTATTTTCATGTCAATATCGGGAGGAAAAATTGCATTATTTTCATACAACAACGTAGGCATTTGTAAAATTCTATCGTCTAACACTAAACACCTTCCGTATCAACCCAAGTGTTTGCCTAGCATGTGCAGGTGTCATCGGTCTCCGACCTCTCCAAACACGCTGTGCAAAAGGAATCAATACTGGCTTCGTGGACGGAAATGAAATATAATCTGTGCAGTCGAGGTGATTGGCGTGGGGAATGTGCAGGGACGCAAGTCTGTCGAAATCCCGCTCTCCGTTTTTATATTTTGTCTAGTTCCTTTGAACGCAGTAGGTGCTCCAAGGATTGAAAGCGGTGGCTACGGGATTCAGATCGGACTTTCGCCGGATAGGAATCAGGAGACACTGCTGCGGGAGGGCGATCCATTATGATGGACAGGGGGTGGTGGGATCGTGGTGGCCTCCAGAGTCTCGTTGCCGATTTTAACAGGTTCAGCAGGCAGCATGGAGAAAAGCATGCGGGCTGGCTTGGATGTCGAGTTAGACCAGGAATGTATAGTGCTACGCTGGACGACGATATCATCTTTCTTCAGTATCGTCTTCACTCCATTATCCAACTCCAGGATAATCTCGCCGGAAAGCACGATGCCGAAATCTATGCTAAGAGTTCGATGCATGAACCCTGGGCCAGGCGGGAAATCTACCATGCGGATTGTAGTGCCGATGGAGTCGGCGAGGGGGATTTGGGTGCCGTGAAGGTCCATCCATGGACCGTCAACTTTGGCGGGGAAGGACTCCGTGCGCCATAACGTGGTGAAGCCTAGTTTATCTGTTGTGGCGGGAGAGCAGTCTGGGGACATAGGATCGTATGGTGTGAGACGGGTATCTGAATCGATGACGGCTTTACCGGACGGAGTGTGACCTGTGACGATACGTCGAACCGATTTGTAATGCATTGCAAAGGATGGAGAGGAGAAATGGATTAGGTGGAACAGCGAGATGTCTTGACCCTTTCACTCATAGGAAGGAAGGCGAGTTGGCAGAGGTCTTCCAGGCAAAGTTTGCCACGAGATTTCAATGGAGGTGGTCAGCGGAGATTATGATTTAAAAAAAAAAAATGAAGGAGAAGAGAGAGGGATTGTAGGGATAGCAGGTCCTTTTATACATTCTTCTCTTTTCCTTCTCTTCTTCCCCTGAATGACCTTGACAAGGAGTGTTTCAAGGGACAACTAGAGAACCTTCGTTTGAACAAATTCACCAATGACTTCAAAGAAGGTGCTAGTATGGAGACACTAAGATAAAGGAGGGTCTTGCAATTAAGCATAGGGATTTGCGGTCATCGAACTTGGACATTGGTGAAGTTGGTGCTCAGTAGTGACTCGAGATCATGTATTGACCTGCCAAGTAAAGCTATAGAGACCTGCTTTCGAGTAAATATTGCCGTTTTTGAATCTGCAAACGAGTGGGATTGATGCTATCACTAAGGAAAATGAGCTACTAAGATCTGCATATATTAAGCCCACCGCTGACTTGGTTTTACTGATCGCAGCCATCCGTAGCACGGACCTGAGGAGGGCGGCAAGCAACCATGCATAGGTACCACTCCGAAAATAGTGCAATGCCATGTGTGCAAACGACATTAGAGCCTGGCCAAAGAGCAGTATTTCCAAAGGGATAATGAACAAGAACATGGAATTCCCCAAATACCGAGAATATACGGAACTCGGCCAATATCATAGGACCTGAAACGGACAGCGGCTCAATGCGATAGTCACACGAAATTCCGCTTCGGGAAACTAGAACGAGCTTAGAGCCGCGTGGGATTTAAAGATCGAGGTTGTCCCCGCACAAAAACAAAAGAGAAAGAAAAAGAAAAGAAACAAACCGAGGGAACTGGCCCATGTTGTCTCTGTTCGAGAGAGAAGGGGGGGCAGTTGGGCAGTTCGCGGTAGGGCGTTTTCCTCGATTTGGATGGACAACCACTGCCTGTTCCCCCTGTTCCACTGCCCGACGATGGAACTTTTAGAATGCTGCAGCCATATGGAGGCTATTCTCTTTCCGGACCCCGGAACGGAAGATCAATCTGCATGACGCAGAGATCAGGACCGTATCCCAATACAATATCTAGGGATGCAGTCGATCAAACAGCTCCACAGAGAGCAAGAGTAAATCAGCTATAGAGTCCAGCACAAGCACATATTTCACCGCCAACAACTGCCCGCTATCGACTAGATGAGCTGCTCTCAAAACCAGCCTCTTGTCCTTATTAGGGTGGATGGATGCTGTTGAAGAAGTCTGTGAGCGCGAATGAAGTAAATGGTCTGTTGAAACTATTTAAATGGGTTAAATTCGTTACCATCATCACGTGAAATGCTAACCAAACTTTGATTGACGGAACTAAACTAGTTAGTTAACTAACTAACGTAACCAATCACTCAACTGGCCAGATCACTCAACTGGCCACCTCCCCACTGTACATTAAACAAATCTTTAAATTCCGCCACCACTATATTAAATTATCCATTAAAAAATTATATACAATTAAATCCTAGCTCTGCAAGCATCCAGGGGCCCTATGTCCAGTATTCCCACACTTGCTGCAGCGTGCCGGTGCTCGCTTTTTAGTGGGTTGATTTGAATCCTCCACCCCTCTATCCACCATCTGCTGAGCAGCCTGAGCAGTCTGAGCTCTAGCTAATCCTTCTTCTCCAGTCAGAATTCCTTCCTGACCTATGTAAACACGGCCTTGTCCTCGCTTGCGTTTCTGCTTCTCATTTGCAGCTCGTAAAGCCTTGTTCTCTTGAGCCAAAAGAGCACCCCCATGCATAGCTAGTTGGCACCCCCGAACTAGTTGATCTAGAGCTTGGTTGGTAGGACTAGGCGGGCTTTGCATACGACGCTTGATAAACTGCTTGAGCTTGTTGAATTGGCGTTCCAATTGGACAGCATTTCGGGGAGTCTTTGGGGTCCAGGAGGCCTGAGATTCATGAGATGTGCCTGGGGGACTTGGTGTATGTAGTTGATAATATAGGCGTTCAAGAACCTCCTCTGCATTGAATGGCACTAAGCCTGTGGCTCTGAATCCATTCTTAATAGTCATATCCTTCAATGCCTCCTTCCTAGCAGCAGAATATAGTTCTAGGAATTCCTCCTTATCCACATGATTAATGCCAAGCCTCATGCCAGATTCAACCTGCTTGCAATATGCCTTCTTCAGGGGGGCAAAGCAGCTCACATCTAGTGGCTGCAGCAGATGGGAAGAATGAGGTGGCATATAGAGAGCTATAATAGCATTCTCTCTGCAGAATTGGTCAAATTCAGCAGTGGCATGGCTCCCATGCCCATCCAGAATCAAGAGTCTATATCTTCCAACTGTATAAGCCTGAGTATGCTTGTTAAACACCTCTTTCAGCCATATTAGACCAAGCTGATCAGTGGTCCAGCCATTCTCACTAACCCCAATTACCCAATCTGCTGGCAGGTTTGTATATCATGAAGCCTGGTGTAGCTTGCCCTTGAGAATAATCATTGGAGGCAGGCTCCGTCCTCTTGCATTGACTGACTCAATCACAGTCACCCATTCCCTATTTCCTGGCTGTATAAGAGATGCCTTTCCAGCTCTTTCTGACCTAGTGACCACTAAGGTTGTTGAAATAACCCCCATAAGAAAGCCAACTTCATCAAAATTATATGTATCCTCAGGTAGAATTCCATACTTCTACTTCTTCATGGCATTATCCACCATTCTAAACCACCTCTTTATAATCTCTGGATCTTCACATAGAGCTCACTGGTGATCATACCTGCGTGTGAGCCTGGTCTTCAGCTCAGAATGGCGTTTAATAAATCTCCGCACCCAGCATTCTCCAATGCTAGGGGATATGCTAGATCCACGGGCCCTGAGTAGCTCAATGGCCATATATCGTACATTTGCAATTCGGGGGGGTAGGCCTCTCTCATCCATGGAGATTATCCATTGAACTAGAGCTTCTTCTTCTGTAGGTGTCAATTTCTGGCGTTGAGACTGGGATTTCACGCGTGGAATGCCTCCATGTAGTCGATTGGATAGGGTGGCACGAGAGACACCATAGGCCTTAGCAGCAGCTCGAATGCTAGAAATTTGCTTGGTTTCATAGGCTCTAATGGCCAAAAGAAGTTTTCCTTCCTGATTAGAGGCTTGAATTTTCATTGTGGTTGAGAAATTGAGCTTTGATTGTTGATGATGGGTTGAAATTGGAAAGGTGGCCAGTTGAGTGATCTGGCCAGTTGAGTGATCGATTACGTTAATTGACTTGATTATATAATCGTAGCGGCCATTGGTTCCATTAATCGCTTTGTGCTTTACACCAAGGCCAATTATTTACTCAAGAATGCCACAGTCGGATCAAAGTATCCATGGTGATTCGCGTGGATGTCATTTGATCTTCTCAGTCAACAAACAGGGGCGGTGGTAACTCTGAGCTTTTTAGTTGTGCGTTGGCAGGTTGCTTGATCCCCGTTCATGCATCATCGATGCTCTCCTCTAGTCTGCAAACAACGATCGCGCAGGCGACGCCAAAAGATGTAAAACTTAGTATCCGTCATCTGGTTACTAGTCCGACTCTATGTCCGCCACTTTTCTCTCCTCCCCCTGGGCACAGTGATGAGCACACGAGGTGTGAAAATCATTTCCTGACTGTGTCAATTTGCCCGGACTTACCAACGGAGGATGTCAAGGACGATGGCGCTGAATTGTTCATATTCGCAATCGAAGTACTGGTTTTCACTACTGCAAACCTTACAACCATCTTCGTTTCCAAGGCCGATTCGACGGGTTATCTCTACATATTGAAACTTCCGCCAACAGCGAAATCGTTGATGCGGAGTATTGCAACGTCGTTTTTGTCGCATCTGATCTCTCTACGCCAGAGACATGGGATTAGACTTGTTCTCTCTCTTTTTGCACGCGCACAAAACCAGTACCTCTTCCCAGGCAGCATGGAAAATCCACACAAACATATTTTGGACGATCGAGGTTTAGTTAAATGGTGGTGCCGTGTGATTGACCCGATTGTCAGACGTTACGAACCTGAAACACAAGTTGATGTCAGTAATGGACGAGTTGCAGGAGAAAAAGATTGTGACAGTGAAGCAAAGGCGGCTGCGTCAGCAACGGCCTACCTGATAGTTCCGGGCTGCGACAAGTTCGAGTCGAGGGCATTCTTGCCGCCATCTGCAAAATTAGATCCTCAGGACAGGCGACGCTGGCTCAACTCCTACCCTCTGCATCAAATATGTGGATCGCGGACAGCACCACCACGTTGCCAAGTCCCACGTTTCCCAGACGACCCGAAATCTCGATTCCTCCTGGAGCTTGATGACGAAATTCCCGATATAACAAATGAAATGAATAGTGGACAATGGCTCAGTATCAAGACCATAGATCAGTTCTGGGAGATGATGGCGTTTAGGCAGGAATGTTCTTCTGGACGCTTAGTCGGGTTCTTGTGGGTAGTAATAAACCCTCCTGGACTTCTAAACTCTGTTCCAATGGCTCCTTCAACTTGTCGGAACGAAAACGATCAAGCCACGTATGATTGCGCATCAGTATTGGATGATAAATGCATTTCTAGGATGGGTGATGCGACAACATTGAATTCAATTTCTGAAACAGAACCAAACCATCCAAGCGGAGGCTCTATCACAAGGGAGCTCGAAGTGCAGCCCCAAGGGAAGGGTACATACGATGCCATTTCTCCGCCACAGCCTGACAGTGGGGTAAAAGAAACGCCAACGCACCCAACCGAATCCTTATCCGAAAGTGCCGTAGGCACGATTATCCTAAGCGACGAAAACTACCAAGATCTCATGAAACTGCTTGTCGAACTCGATTTCGACAACGAAAAGGCAGCCGTCGAGAGCACTAATTCCTGGCTCTCCAAGCTCTCCACTATAATTGGTCGAAGCAACCATGGTGTGATTGTGATTGGGGAATGCCAGTCTATCGAACCTTCAACGCAAGAATCTACAAATACTTTAAATCTGTTGAGTGGAGGTTTGATCAGAAAGCGGAAGAGGGGACCTGCGGATACCGAAACCCCAATGGATGGTGACGCTCGTCCGGATTCTTCAATGACCAGTACTCGTGAAGACATCAATGGCCAAGAAGAGTCACCACGTAACTCTGATCCGCAAATAACCGCTCCTACGATTAACGTTCTCAATGGATGCATGATTCGGAAAAAGCATAAAAAAGAGGACTCTTAAGGTTCCTATTTTTTTGTCTTTTAACTTTCATTCGCACATCTTATGTGGTATCTGCATATTTATGATATATTTCGCTTCCCACCGCCATCTCAAGTTCGAGCTGCAAACAAACTTTTGGTGGTTGGAATCCGAGTGAAAGAAAGAGTTTCGTCAGCTGTTCGATCCAATTTCTTGTCAAGGGGTTAGCAGAACTTGGAAGAAGCACTGCTCAGCTCGGGATTGAATCCGATCCCTGCCAGCGGTTGTTCTTCTGATTCACCCCCCCTTACACTCAGATCCTTGATCACTATCCAACCTTGACCTAGCAGACCAACATCAAATCTTCTTCCTGATGCCTCACGACGTCGGCTTGTTAATGGATGCATGGAGCAAGTTATCTACTTGTTTGTCATGTCATGATATTAATGTTGTATTGAAAGATGCATATTGAATTTCTCCGCCCAATGAATACGAAAACAAATATATCACACGCCGCGTCTGGCTCAAAGCAAGCTAAACAACGAGGGAAAAGGCTGTCTATATTTGACGCATTATCTTTTCCAGAAAAGATATATGTAAAAAAAATTATTTCAGGCCCTTTAACCAAAACCAACTTCATCCATAACCCTGCAAAGCGGCAATATCGCTAGCCGGAGAGTTCTTCGCCGTAGGTACAGTAGAGAAGGCGAAATCAGCATGTGGTCTTGTGCTATCCCCATCTCCAGGGACGGGACGTTGGTCGTTAGGCGTGTTTTGCTCACTAACGACAGTGAACTCGACACTTTTCTGGATGTTATTGCTGATGATAGCGTGCGGGGGTAATTCGATATTACTGCAGCTAATACCATTGTCTTTATTTTTGATATTCTGCATCTTGTACTCGTCAATCATCCGCTCTTCGCTCTCGGTGAAAGTTTTGTTTGGTATCGGGTTTGCGGTTGGGGGACCGCGGTCTCGCTTATGACCACTATTATAGTCACCGCTACTGAATGTTCCCAACTCCCTTGGTGTTCCATCATTCTCTTTTCTGCTCGAACGCGTTAAGGTGATGAGAGAGCCAAAGGTGGACGTTGTCCAGCGCTTCATAGGAGGAAAGATCATGGGCATGTTCGTCATGATTACCGCAATGAAAGTTTCACGGACTGCCCACGAGCCGGCAGATTGTGCACCATTGATTGGGTCCTTTTGTTTTAGGAAGTGTCAGAATATGGATCTTATGCCTAAGTATTGTGGGGCAGAAGTTCGACCTACCATTACTATCATTACAACACGCAGAATAGCACAGCCCACGACGAGCAATCCTCCGCTGAATAAAAGCATCAATCCAATCTTCTTCAGGGGCTTTATGCTCGATTGCCAGAGCATAGGAATGGGTATATAGAGCAAGTACAAATCAGTTGCAACGTTGAATCCGAGAAAGACCCAAATTATCTGGTTGGATATGGCTGGCTGGCAGACATCTGGAGGCGTATATTGAACTGTCAGCGGGATAGAGTTTCTACTGTACTCCACAGTAAAATTACCTACTTCCTGGATCTGGATAAATCTGCCAATATTTATGAAAGGGACGGCATGCGAGGAAGAGGTTCATTAGTACTATCATCCAGCTGGCAATGATGAAGCAGAACCCAATATATATCCGGATCCGATAAGAACGTTTCAGACCGAACTATTTTGTGTGAGTCAGCAGGTAGCGGTGATAAACGGGCCTGGCAACTACGATTCTATACCGTTAATCTACTATAAAGCACCAACAATGACGACTTGAGCGACCAGAGCAAAGTTCCGTACGTTGACCACCCACACAGCTGGATTTTGGAACCAAGAACCCTAAACGCAAGAATAAGTTGGTCTTTAGATCTCCTGAGTCTAGTTAGCTTGATTCCACAAACCTCAGGCGGTATTCCGCACTGTCGGGGGACAGAGCAGCCCGCTGCTTGTCAGTCATTCCATTATTGGCAAGCCCATTTGCTATGCTTCCAACAGAATATGCGAGCGCAGTCTCAATGGCGTAGAATATCTGTTGTGGACTCGACTTTTAGCTATTGACCTTAGGGAAAAACGGGGGAAAAGCTCTTAGAATCATGGGAGGACACGCACTACACCAACCCAAACCAAGTAATCGTCAAGTTGAAGGCTCTTAAAACCCAGGGTGTTTACTCGAACATACGTTCTAATAATGGTCACCAGAAACGCAACTCCAAGAAGTGACCATGCTTCAATGGAAAACTTATAAAAAGCAGCCTGCGCCGCAGCTGCGGCAGGATCAGACGGGGGAGGTAGCGACATCATGTCGTTGTGAAGCTGCAGGAACGTCAGGCTGTGTCACTGGCATGGAGGCTGGAGACCCAAGCATTCTGAGCATGGAACAAGTGGATTGAAGATAAGAAGCGGCTCTTGCTTTGATTCTTCTTGCGAGTAAAGATGGGATATTTATTCCCATTTGCTTCCGGATCTTAATCGCAATATCATATGTTGGGGAGCATGTCAAACCCAAGGGAAGTCAAGGGAAGTCAAGGAAAGTCAAAGGAGAGAATCGGTTCTTCTAAACATACTTGGTCAACACGCAAACCGACAATTAGCGGTTCCCCTCATGATCGACGGCCTGCAGGAATATGTAGTGTATATCCAAACCCAGTTTTACTGGAATTCAAAGGCCCCATTGTGATTGACCGCTTAGATCCCGACAAAGAGCTTCAGTCTGGGCTTTTTGGGACAATTTGCTCTGTCAGGACTCCCACAGCATACCGATTGACAGGAAGATAATTTATTAACCTTAATAATAATGGGGTTCCAGCAACAGCTACTAGGTCACAACTGGAACAAGCCAGCCACCCAAGGGGGGTTGTAAGTGATTCGTTTCTTTTATGTTTTTGGTTCAAACCGTATATGGCGCAACCTTGTATGTGGTTGGCATCTGCGGGAGGCATGCCGCCGTTTCCGTAGCATGATGACCTCTGGCACCTCTGAGTCTCTGACTCTGACTTCGGACTTTGGAGGCTCGTTATAACATTTTAAGTTCACTAGCCGCTAAGTTCACTAGCCGCGTGAATCCGTGAGAGGTTTTGTTTGCATGGATCAAATTCCGTTCGGCTTGCTTGGCGGAGTCAATTTGAGAGACGCGACCATGGTACGCTTTCAAGAACCTGATGCTACTAGCAGGCTGAACAGGCCAAATTGGCTGCGCTTTGTCTCGTATATGTCAGACCACTTTTTCTGCGGGAATGTAAGGGCGCTCTTGTTGATAACTAGCAAACTCAAACCAAGACGAAGGAATTGGTCTCTCAACCTTAAATAAGCTCCAATTGTTGTTCATGAAGAGTTCTCAAAAGCCACTTGCAGATCAAGATCTATGGTATTTCAATTTCCAGTTCGGCCAGTTGACTATTTTAAACTAGGGGTAGCATAGCCAGTCTTTTCACTGTATGTACACTACCCAACTTATTGGGGTGAACCTGTGCCATTTGTTCTTATCTCCTTTCATGGCAGTTGAGTACACATAAAATAATTCAGCCACTCCTCGGGATGGTCAATCATCATAGAAGAAGCGGATTTTAGAGGACAAGGTGAACAGCTATGCGCTGAACTGTTGCATGTTGAAAAATGAATGACTACGGAGCCATGTGTGTAACTCAAATAGCCGTGTAGCTTATATTCACTACATCGGTTAGACGAAATAACACATACGTGGGCTGGAGTTAATCGATGAGCTTATTGAAACATTTTCAGAACCCAATTCCCAGAAGGACCATAAATGTAACTTGTTCTATAGGGAGATGTTGTTTGAATCAGCCTACGAGCATGAAGTGAGGAAACGAATGAAACTAGGTTTAGAAGAGCACAATCGAGCAAATTGGGATGGATTGATTTGGCTCCTTCTCCAGCCCCAGAATATTTATATGTATATACGTCCTGCACTAGAAATGTTAGACAAGAAATAAACTATCGCTCTCTTGCTCTACCAGCATTCATAATGCACCCTTAAACCACCAAATGGTTAAAAGAAGAAAAAGCCCTGAGAAGGAAGGGAAAGAAGTAACTCAACCTGTACGATCAACTGAGCGACCTGGAAAAAAAAATCGCACCGTATATTTAAATTCAGATAGACCACTCCAATTCACCACACAAAGCCCTATCCACACACCTCATCTATCGGCCCACCTGTTTTGGTCAAGAGTGTCACATGCCCGTCTGGGGTGGGCACGTCATATCATATCATATGAAAGCTTGATTACCAGGCAATTCTCGCGAGGATCCCCTTTGGCCAGCGCCGGACACAGTACTTTCTAGTTTCGTCCAGCACAAGCAGTATGAGGCCAAACGCGACGGGTAGGAAAAAGTACTCGACCGGCACTGATGTGGTTGCAACGGAATTCTGGAGGCTGGGGATGTAGCAGACTATATATTGTTGTGATTACAGCGTGAGTTTGAGTGTGAGTGATGAAATGACATTGGGACAGAATTAAACCGAAATTTCAAAGCATAGAATACGTAGGGAGGGCATGAGAGATCGACGGTAGATAAAACAAGATGAACATAAGGGGGACAATAACATACAAATAAACACAATGCACAGGGCGAATACCATGGCAATAAAGATAGCCGGGTTATTTGTCTCTTTATTGAAAATCGGCGGCTGCTGGAAGAGACTTAGTCGTCTGGTGCGAATGGCGAGAAGATTGAAAAACTGCATGACGACCAAATTAACGAAGTATATCGAAGATGCCTTATTGGTTATCTCCGTGACATAGTCCGGGTCATATTTGGGGTCCATCGATCCGTATTTCAGAGCCATGGCACTGAATGGGATGCCGCGTCTCTGTAGACAAAGAATGATGGAAATAGTTTAGCCTGTATTTTCTTTGAATCCACGCGTGAAAGGAGTGAACTGGGTGACGGATGACACACCTCCATATACCAAAATGCCATTATGAATGAGAGCGCACACTCGAAAACGCCGATAAATCCGTAGGCATATAAGATAAGTTGGGAGTTTACGAGACGATCCCTCTTTGGGACACGCGGTGGTCGAAGGAGGATATCTGATTCCGGCTTTTCGTATGCTAAGGTGATGGCACCTGCAGCATCTGTGAAGAGGCTATAATTTCATTATTTATGTTAGTAGAGTAGGAGACACTGCAGATATTGATAATGTGATAATCCTACCAGATGATAATCTGTAATCATAAATATTAGCAGAGTGCATCATATCTGGATCGTTGAAAAACCATACCATTAAGAATGAAGACAGAACCTGCGGAACACCCAGAGCGACATTTGCCATAACTGGCCCTGATGTAAGGTCAGCTAAAACAGCCCAAATATGTCTTGATTTTTAAAGGGATAGTTACAAAATTCGCTAAAACTGCCAGCTGGCAGAAGATATATGATGGTCTTTTTCAAGTTATCTACACTAATTAGCCGCTGTCTTTCAACCTGGGTGAAAAAATGAAAACTTACCAAAGACCACGCGTCCATATCTTACGGCTTCCACGATAGCAGAAAAGGAATCAAGTAGCACCATGTCCGCTGCCTCGATAGCGATATCAGAGCCACTACCAAGCGCGACACCTACATCGGCGGCCTTCAAGGCTGGCGCATCATTTACACCATCACCAGTCATAGAAACGATATTCTCATCCGCTTGGAATTCTTTAACAATTCGAAGCTTCTGTTCCGGTGTGGTGCGGGAGAAAACGACCTCTTGGTATTTGCAGAGTTGTTTCCATTGATTTTGGTTGAGGGTCGTTAGCTCAGGGCCACTTACAACGATGGACTGAAATGTTTCTTCTCCCTTCTCTGGTGAAGATACGAAGTCACGGGCCAGATCATCGACTCCGTGGATAAGAGCTGGTGGTGTTTTAATAATTCCACAATCGATGGCGATTGCTTGTGCGGTAAGCTTGAAGTCTCCCGTCACCTATCATATATGCGGGTTAGTCAATCATGGAGAAAAAGTAAAGTATGCAAGAGAAGTAGATAGGGGTAAGAAGTTTTACCATCATTATTCGAATTCCAGCAGTTCGGAGAGTTTTGATAACGCTAGGGATCTCCTCCCTCTAGATATTGACGAGGTTATTGACGAGGTGAGCATATACCGAAACAGATATGATTTGTGGAATAGAAAAGTACTTACAACAGGGTCTTTTAGACCAACAAGTCCCAGGAAAGTCAAGTTCTCCTTAGCCTCATCTAGAACAGCTTTCTCCACATTTGAAGACGACAGAAGGTTGCCCGCGTTTGATCCAAGTGGTTTTTGGGCAACAAGAATGACGCGCTGTCCATTACGAGACCATTTATCCTTGACCGCTTCGATCCCTGCTAGATCCACACTTGAGAGGGCTCGTGTGGTACCATCTTTTTGAAGAATACTTCCGCATCTGGAGATCAAAACATCGGGGGCCCCTTTAATATAAAGCCTGGTGGAAAAGTTAGCGACCCATTAAAGAACAGAAGATTAGTAGCACGTACATGTCTTCAACGCCAGCCTTCAATGAGTGCATTATTCGGATCATGAACTTATTCCGACTGTTGAAAGCGATCTCAAAAAGAGTCTTTGTGTCGCTCCGAAGCTGGTTGACGGGTCCCAAAGTTTCTGAGAAACGGAGGATAGCTTGATCTGTCGGATCACCATGCATTTTCATTTGACCAGGCGGGTAACCTAAAGTAGAAGCATCAAACTCCGCTGCGTTGCATAAGCCACCAACTATGCGGAGCTGATCTAGGGATTTTTCAAGTAAAAGGTTAGTGTTTCTTCCTCCAATAATAGCTCTTCGTGCAGCCTCCTCGGTGTATTCTCCCCCGCCAGCGAAACAATCAGTCACAAACATCTCGTTCTAGAAAGAAGTGATATATTAGACGTGGTCAAATACAGCATAAGAGTTCGATAGCTTCACCTTAGTCAAGGTTCCAGTCTTATCCGAGCAAATAACAGAAACCGAACCAAGGGTCTCGACGGTTGCAAGAGACTTGCAGAGGATTTTATTTTTCTTCATAATATTTGCACCAATAGTGAGACTCATTGCGACAGCAACTGGGAGTCCTTCTGGCACAAAGGCGATTCCGACTGAGACGCAACTGACGATGAGAAGTGGAACGTTGATCCAGTTGGGATGATCTCTACGTAACCAAGCTGCCCTATGCAAATGTTAAATCAAGCTCTTCAGGAATAAGAGGGGCGAAACATACCATAGCACCACAACTACGATAACAACAGTAGCAATGAAGCCGACTATAATCAATACAAATCGGAGAATCTCCTTTTGTAAAGGAGTGAATTCGTGCCGTGGTTTATTTGTTAGTCCAGCAATCCGTCCAAACACTGTGTTGTCTCCAGTAGCGACACAAACACCGGTTGCAGTCCCAAAGACACAATGGGTGCCTTGGAGCCCAATGTTACGTGTTTCGAGATAATTGTTGTCTGTAGAATCGACAGTCCCTTGAGAAGGTTCGGACTCGCCTACAGTGACACTTATTAGAACTTGACAAGCCAATTAATTCATGGAGACCATCGGGAGGGGCTTTACCAGAAAGGATTGAACGATCAAACTTAGCATCAGACGACACCTGAATAAAACGAACATCTGCGGGGAGCTTGTTTCCTTGCCTGATTTTGACGATATCGCCGGGCACAAGTTCAGTCGTGGTTGTACATTCCTGCTTGCTATCTCGAACGACCATGCACTCATCCGGAAGCATAGTGGTAATCGAAGCCATAACTCTCGAGGAAGACCAATCCTGCCAAGCATTGAATGCTGCCTGTATGGAGAAGACAGCGGCGAGGACGATGGCAAGGGCGAGATTCGCAACGGCGGGGGGATCCCCAAGCGGTTTCCATGCGATAAAGACCAAAATACAGCCCAAGAAAAGTAATATGCCAAAACCGCCAAAAACATAGCCCACGATCTTTCGAAACAGGCCAGATGGTGGGGGAGAAGGCTTGTTTTTGCCATATTCTGCTGTACGTCTAGCAACCTGTTCAACAGAAAGCCCCTGGGAAGGTGATGTTGAAAGCCGTTGGAACAACTCGTCGACTGAAACTAGATGCCAATCTAGCTTCTCCAGATCTGTTTTCCATTAATCAGTGGTCTACATAAGAGTATTTCACGGCTCTGATATATCGCATACCATGTATCTGTTTCGCATCTTTCCTCGCCAAAGGCGCCCCATTATTTAAGTCCTCGGTTATATTATAGGAACTGGATTGTTTTTCTGTTAGAAGAACGAATTTGAGACGGAAGATAGGTGCAAGCTAACAGAGTCCGGAAAGTAATCGGGAGGACTGCCTCTGGTGCTGCAACCCTGCTATGAGTGCTGTGAATTGACATCGAGGAATTTGAGACAGTGCGATGGAGCAGACGTCTCGGATGGTCGGAGCGAGACTGGGCCTCGTCCGCAATCCGAACGTGGTGGACTTCCTTGTGGTCACTCATTGTTTGCAGAGAGTAGAGCTTCCAAAATTTCCAGGTGTCAAAGAACGAGAGAGCAAAAAGAAAGACGTGAGAACAGGGGCATTATACAGCTCCCTTTTATATTGGATGACGACCAGTGTTGAGACATTGCATCACCTTTCACTATTCAATAGCTAACAAAGGAAATAGTCAACAAATTTCCCAGATAACTATACAACTTGGGAAAGCAAAGAAAGGTTTACCAAAAGCAAAAATACGAAAGATAAAAAGTCTAAAATTTCCACAAGCACGATGGATAGGAGAGGATGCAACATCCAATCCTCACAAGGATAGCATGCAGAGGTAAGTTGGGGTTGAGGGGTTCTCCCACGCGAGGGAGAAGTAGAAGAGATAAATGCCGCATAGTTCACAGTATGGTATAACTGCACCCGTACTGAAGGCTCCTCAATGGACTAGAGAACCGATACAATGAGACAAAAGAGAAAAAGCAGAAGAAGCGAAATTTCCGGACGATGTAATAACAGCTACAGTTGTTACTAGATAAAACAAACCTTGGAAATGTTCCTGGATCCCAGTCAGCAATCTAGCGGTGGCTATATGACGACAGCTTGAGAATTAAACATAGTTACCAAGCTGAAATATTCCGGCTCAACTGGAATCCCCGTCTTTTCGAAAGAAAGCAAGTTTCAGGAACCAATAAGCCTTCGAGGCTCTGTAGAGCACGCACTGATACTTCCAGCACCAAAGCCAAGGTTTTAGAGAGGAGCTAGCCGGGACTTCACGGTAGTGCGTTCATGTTTATATGAACGTCTCATATACATATAAAAGAAAAGGATGTCGAATTCCACATCAGAGGACATAAAACCTCTGTCGACGATTAAACTCCGTTGTGGCATTTCATTTCATATGTCATAAGAGCATGATGAGCTCTTTCTGCTGTTGCATTTCCCGCCGCACATTATAGTGTGTTACAATGGGTAACACGTATGGCCCAAGAAGGGAAACGGGCGAAAATAGCCACTATGACCCACGTCACTCCATGCCGTTTGGACTGATATATTGGCCGCTTGAAGGACCAAAGCTGAGGCGGAATGAGCTGGTCCAGAAAGCACAGGTAGCTCTCGGAAAATAATGAGATGGGATTAAGAAATCGAGTCATGGTGGGCTCGTGTGTTAAAGCTTTGGTTGGACGGGCATTTAGTCACTGCCAATACCGTTTAACGTATGCAGCTGACCCCTGCAAGTTCAAGCTTGTCACGATTGCGCGGTTTGGGCCAGCTTGAAGGCTAATAACAATACCAGGTTTGTTTCTTCCGAGATAGACCATAGGGAAGAATTAAAGATCCGTTGGACATGAGTACTCATAGGCACGCGATCCCAGTATTGTTCCGCGTCTTCTCAGGTCCAGTGCAAATGCACCCCCCCCCCCCCCGCCCCAACCCACCTGTCCAGAGCGCTTTGTGAAAAGAAGATAATGCACTGGCCACCCCACGAACAGCGCTCCCATGCTTTGACGGGTGCCGAGATCACTAGGAGAAAAGGGGGGTTGTTTGACGTTGATCGTGGAACTCCGGAGTCGTGGACAAAGTGGGCTGGAGGCTAATGCCACACACCTCAAGCCCCATAGTGCCCCAAGCGTTGAGCTTTATTTCCACCATATTTCCACCACCCAGCCAACTGCGGGAGGACGAAGGACTCCGCATCTTTGATTGTCATATGTACAAGCTCCACTGGTTTTCTCTAGTAATCGTCATGTTAACCTGGGCTGTCCTCAATCCTACTGCGGGATTGCCGTCCAAGTTACGGACAACACCCACATGTTGCTGCTTGGATTGTTGCTCGAATTGAGTTCTCGCAACCCCATGGCCATTCAGCCACCGGGGTAGACTGTGCTCTAGCGTCTTCTCTGTCGACTGCTGCTTGCTGCTGCTGCACAGCCACTGCAAGCGTATGTAGGCCATGGGAAACCCTTTCTCACTATGAGCGATTTTTCTAGCAGCTTGATATTTGGTGGTTGGATTTTCAGGGTTTCCAGCTCACCGACAAGCACCACAGCAGACCGCTCGGCGAAGCCAGCTCCGGGCTGGATACCCTCAATCATGATTACTCGAAATTACCGCTTACCGGGCCCATTTCCTTGCTCCCATAATGCCTGCTTTTAGTTTTGTTTTAGGAGATGGAGAGGGCAACCCAGCAGTTCGTCATCGATCCCCTCCCTCGCTTGCAGGGTATTTTTGATGCGTTACCGATTCCTCCGGATTGACTTATAAAACATCCGTTAGACTTTGTATCCGAGGCGTTGATTATCGAGGTAACTCACTTTTGGGTCCGATTTGGTATGATTCTTTCCGATCCTGTCAATAGCTACTGGAAAAGTTTTCATCAGTTTAATGCCAAAACTCCTAAAGCATCGTACGCACAGAAATTTCTTTGGAGGATATATGAGAAAAAAGGAGGTTCTACAAGACAAAAAAAATAAATAAAAATAAAAATAAAAAATTGGTGTGGATGTGTAATTCCATGTCCAGTGGAAGGAGAACTTGACGTATACCTAGGACACATTCCACCAAGGGCCGCCATTCTCACCCTCCTGTCCCTTCGTCGCTCTGTGAGGGGAAATATGGTTTTCTAATTTCCCCGTCCATCTGGGTGATTTGAGAGGTCGTTCCAATTGAAGGAGCTTACTTTCCTCCCTCGTGATACTGTCTACGGATGAGGGAAATGAAGGGTGGAGATAGAGAATCTACATCTCCTAGTTTCGCCCAAAGTTCATTCTCTATAAAATGCCCTGTTCCGATGTGACCTTCAGCCAGACAACTGCCTACAGCAGCTAAACAGCTGAGTTACAGCACTAAGCCATCACAAAACGTCATCCCAGCAGAGTTTACCAAAGGGCAGAGAAACAGGCCCATATTAGACGAAACGTTTTTCAAACTAAGGGGCCTCCGTAATCGTGACGGTGATACCACCAATTGTTCAGATCAACCACCGTCAACTCCTTTTTATTTTTTATTTTATTTTTATTTGTATTTTTGTATTTTATTTTTTACGATTCTCCATCATGTCACTGAACGTCTTTTATAAACCATAGATATCTCGCCGATTGTGTCTGACTTCAGTTCCCGAAACGGCATCAAAATTTGAAACTTCTGTCTCACTATTTAGGTCGCTTATGTCTACTTTGCTTTGCTTTCATCTCCACAACAACCTTTGTCAGGATACGCTCTGTTGTGTACCCGGTCCATACCTCGATTCTTCCCTCCAGAGTAAACGCCAGGCCTCATGCTGGGCGGAGCCCATCCTCAGATATCATGCAGGAAAAAGGAATTTCAGAGAAGATTGGATACAGGGAGCCCTAGATTGTGTCTTCCGACTTCACCCCCAAAAGAACCCTAAGCCGAATCATTTCCCACATGTGAATCGGATGACCTAGCCCCAGTTCTATGCGTTCACCCAAAGTGATCAGCTAGGATGGCACATACCCATTTGCGATGCCTCCTCATCGAGCTATTATTAATTGCAGCCATTTGTGTAAACACGTGCATCACATCAACAGCGAGCGTCCTGATACAGGGCTGCAAGCCAGAATTGAACGATGAAAAAGCAATGCAAAATAAACTATTGTCTGTTTAGCTAACTGTGTGGATATTAGAGCATAAGTTGGAAACTCTCAGGTAGATAACTACTTCCATGGACAGGCAGCCTCAATTGTCGGGTCCTGGTCAAAGAATGCACACATCAGAAGCCCGGTCTCCTTGCCATTATCACAGGAGCAGAAGGAGAAGAAGAAGAGAAGAAGAAGAGAAGAAGAAGAGAAGAAGAAGAAGAAGAAGAAGAAGAAGAAGAAGAAGAAGAAGAAGAAGAAGAAGAAGAAGAAGAAGAAGAAGAAGAAGAAGAAGAAGAAGAAGATAGCTGCTAAGCAATTGCACCCTAGCTAATTGTATTGAACGGCTGCTGCACAGCCAGGGAATTCGCCCATCATGATATGATGTTCCACGAATAATCTTCGACTCCTGATATGTTTGGCACCATCGAAGAGTTCTTCTGTTGCTCTGACCGTTAAGTTACTGCACCACGAGCACCCATTTGGACCTTGTAAAACGTGGAACACATAGCACACCGTCCATTGATTTTTTTTTTTACGTTTTCGCCTTGCTGGATTGTATGTACGTACGTACAATACAAGCGGTGGAATGTCCCACAAAATCACCGACGATGGATATGATGCTCAACTGTGCAAGGCTCAAAGATATCGTTATGGTTTTGATTGTTGATTTTGACGGCGTTGTATGGAATGACTATGTCCGCAATTAATATCCATAGGTTCCCTATGGGCCCAATCTGTCCCTCTACAACCCCGTCATCATGAGCTACCTCTTATATTCTGCGCCATCCGGGGCGGGCGGAGGACGATATCGATCGTACATACGATGGCTGCTGAGGTTATTATTTCAGCTAGGTGAATAGTTATCCTCTCGTTAGTATCTAGATAACTAGTTAAATAAACTAAGAATAAATATTAAACTGCCACCGCAAACTAACTAGTTACAACATGCTCGTCAACTCACTTACTGCATAGCTAGTTACATCAAAATCAACCAATCTCTTTGTAATCATTGAAAACACCATTTCCACTGGATAGCGGTGTTTTAGGGTCCGGTCGATCCGCGAATCGAAAGTCGCGTTGAAAAGTCCGTAATTCTTCGGGCTAAGATTAAGTTTATATATATTGTCTTCGCCCATCGTGAATCCCCCCCCCCCCCCAACACTTTGAACATCTAACCACCCAAGAGTCGTTGGACAACGACGGTCATACAATTAACATTCTTTTGTCCTTCCTTTCTTCTCTTCCTTGAAGAGGGGGATCCTGTCGGGAGCATATCTGTCCTTTTTAGCCTGCTCTCCGTACGCTCTTTTCATTTTCTTCAATTTCTCCTCTTCCCTAAGTATGAGCTTGTCGTTGTCCATGCCCAGGGATTCGTACTGCTTTGTCCATCTTACGCTGCCATTCCCTGCGTGAATCGAATTCAAAGAAACAAAAAGGAGAAGAAAACGGCTGTCTTTGTTGTGCGGTTCATATTGTCAGTCGCCTCCTCATGCAGGCAGATCAAGCTCCACCAAGCCTCTCCTCTATCAATGCAGCCATTGTTGGCAACAATGGCCTTTTGTTCCGGGCGGGACAATTCCAGACTTGGCTGATTATAGCTAGTTGGGTTGCTATCATTTGGTATCTAATAGTGACGTTAGTGATTTTGGTGGGATGGCTGCGATTGTAAGGCTTAAATATTCCATTATCCCATTGTGTTATATGAAGTCGATTCGTGGCGCAATTAATCCCCAAGCTAATAATAAGAATTCCCACCCACTACCTAGACAGAAGCATTTGTCTTCTGTTCCTAAAAAATCATTTTCCGCTTCCCTCCGTCCCTTTGAGGTGCGCCATGTCACCATGATCCGCCCGGTCAAAGGCCTCGAGCCCTACCTCTACGAATGTCTGGCCTCTAGCTTCCGTCAGGACTATCCTAAGGATAAGCTTACAATCTATTTTTGCGTTGCAACAATATGCGATCCGGCATATCCGATTTTGGAAAGGTTACTGGAGGACTTTCCAGACGCAGATGCCCGGATATTCATTGAGGAGGAAGATGGGGACATTGGCCAACTCGGTCCCAACCCGAAACTCAGGAATATGAGTCGTGCATATCACAATGCTAAAAGCGATATCGTGTGGATTGTGGATTGTAATGTGTGGGTAGGAAAGGGCGTCTGCGGTAGGATGGTGGATAGACTGTGTGGGATCGTCGCGGACGATGGCACCGTCTATAAACAGTACAGATTGGTCCATCAGATGCCCATCGCGGTCGACGTAGGAAGCGAGGAGCAGGAAATGCATAATTCGGAAGAGCCAAATATTTTGCCTCATCAGGACTACAACGATATTACTCTCTCGAGGGCAACTACGGAGACAAGGAATTACGAACAGGTATCTTCCATCTCAGCCGTGGGCGGAGGCCGCCTGGAGGAACTTTTCCTCTCTTCCTCCCACGCAAAATTCTACTCCGCAATCAACACCATAGTCATCGCCCCTTGCGTAGTTGGTAAATCTACCATGTTTCGCCGGTCACACCTGAACTACCTCACGTCCCCTTCTGTCTCAAAACCCCGCAGTGCTCAACAGCGACGACCGGGAATCGACTACTTCTCCGACAACATCTGTGAAGACTATCTCATAAGTGACTATCTTTTCAAGGGGAAATTCCAGGACAAAGCAGGCGAGATATGGGGTAGACAACGTTTGGTCTACGGTGACCTCGCCATCCAACCCGTAACCAACATGAGTGTCAAAGCCTATATCCACCGCCGTATCCGCTGGCTCCGTGTTCGAAAATTTACCGTTCTACTGGCAACCCTCGTCGAGCCGGGAACCGAATCATTCCTCTGCTCCACCTATCTCGCGTTCGCTCTAACCACACTCCTGCCCCGTCTATTCCCGCAATATTCAGGCTCTCTAAGTTCGTGGGGCACATTCGCCGTAATCTGGCTCATCAGTATCACCTACTGGGCTACCATTGACTGGCTCTTGTATATAAAGCTGCATTCCGCCGCCACCGTCGAAGTAGACGAGCACACGCCGCCCTTTGCGCTTCCACCGTCCAGATTTCCGCGGCGTAGTATTTTTGGCGCCAAGCGCCAGTTCCATGAGTGGTTCCTTGCTTGGTTGGGCAGAGAGACATTGGCTCTACCTATATGGCTCTGCGCTTTCTATGGTGGATCAACTGTTGTTTGGAAGGATCACAAATTCTCTGTTGGGATGGATCTGATTGCGAAGGAGATCAAGGGAAAAGAGCCTCAGAGCACCGACTCAAAGGGTAACGGTGTTCCTGGAGGCAGCAATGGCACCACGGGACTACATACCAAGAGCCGGAGGAGCGGCTACGTTGCTACTGGGTTAGTTCAGAGGACGAGGATGTGCGGCAGCGGATTATCCTAAAATCCACGGTTTTAGGCAGACACAAGAAATTAAATTTAGAGAGATATATATATGCGTACTTAACCTCCCCCTGTGTTATATTTTTGTTTAGTTTTATGACCCCCTAAACAATACCCAGATAGGTAGCTGGATATCACTTTTATCAGTTTACCCTGTTGCACTTAAATTTTAGCAGACATCTTAAATTGCCTTTAATTCATGTTGTTTGCAAATTAGTGGAACTCTCCTTATTGGTAGCTCCTATTTTTCTAAAATATATCATAAATCATAAATAACCAACCATTTCTGTTCCAAATTAAACGCATCATTACTTCTGAAGTGGCTCGTGGGTATTCGTCATTTTGTTTAAAACTACATACAGCAGCAGGTAGCTTATGTTTAACCACCCGCTTCAAACAGAAAAGGAATATCATACCAACTTCTAAATACTTTTTTCCCCCTCAATATTTTTCTTCAAAAGCAGTTCAGATGAATTCCTCAAATATAAAAATTAAACGGACACATTCCCAAGGTCAATTCCCGTGGTAAATCCCCGCTCCCACTTCAACTTCATTGATAGCCACCCCTCTTTCCAATCCCTTCCCCTCCTCACAACCCAACAACCACTCGACAACCTGCATGCCCTGCGAAACTGGTCTCCCTTCATCTGCCTCGCCATTATCCTCAATAGCAGTGACACCATTCGCAGTTGCCTCTCCGTCTCCTCGCTTTTCTCCTCCTCCCTCGCCCACATCCTCATCATCAGCAGGTAACGCAGCCAACTCCGACCTCTCAGCAAGAAAAACGGCATCATGTCCTGCATTGTTCTTGGCCGCGATGTCTGCGCCAGCGTTGACTAGGGCTTTTACACATTCCAAATGCGAATTTAGGGCTGCCCAGTGAAGCGGGGTGTTACCGGAGTTATTGCGGTAATTTATTATTGAGTTTGTCGGCCTCTGGGAACTTTGGGATGTTTCGGTTGGCGTTTGGGTTGGTTGTGGCGTGGGGAGGAGACTGAGGAGGTAGTTGAGGGTTTCTGGTTTTGGGGATATGTGAGTTGATTACATCTCATTACATAGGGATTACTTGTAAAGAATCGTAAGATCTGGGGTATTTCGTTTTTTCCAAATTCCTTTGCATACCAATATTCCCATTAGCAGCTGGCCAATGTAACAAACACGCTCCCGTTCCTCCTTCGCTCTCGTCTTCCAAGTCGATGGCGCATTGTAAAATGTCAGACGCCGTGCACCCATATTTCTGGCTAAGATTTGTGATATCTGTCCGCAATGAATCTACGTCGCCCAGACGCGCGGAGTAGATGAGGTCATCAATTTCTTCGAACGTCAACGGCGTGGATGTCGTGCTACCCGCCTGTATTTGGGTGGTTGTGTCTGCCATGGCTATAGATGAGCTTTGATTTCCACTTGCCACTGTGATATTTAGGTATTTCTGCGCGGAAATTCCAATTCCTTTCTTCTGGTCGGATATTGTTCTTGTTTGTTCAGCTAGTGACTTTTATCGCTGAACTTAGGGTTATTCCTGTGGTCATACATTGCAATTAGTATCAGAATGGGTTCAGAAAAGGAGGGGCAATAGTGCAAAGAAAATCTTCAATGGGTGGTCGAGGACGGTAGGGAAGTAGTCGGAAAGAATATCTAATGTTCGGATCTCATTCTTTATCCAAGAGGAAAAGGAGTTATCCATCTCCCCATCATTTCGGAGAAACCCTTGAATAGGAAAAGATATGCAGGGCAAATCTTAGCCGGGAATGGCTCAAATAATTTCCAATGACCGACAGGGTAAAATCTCTTAAGCAAGAAGTTCCGCTGTACGGAAAATGATATATCCAAAAAGAGTCCACTCTGAAATTACCAGGGGAATGAAGCATGAAGCAATGCAACCATATCATTTAAAGAAAACTGGCATTAGCGCACATCAATGCATGAAAAAATGCAATAACAAATGCATATTATTCAACAGAAGATGTGGACAACTTTAATTCGATATAGCATCAGACTAAAATATAACAACAGAAGAGCGAGACAACAAGAAATTAAGAAAGAACCTACCAGAATGATATACTTCACACGCAATTAACTCTCTCTAATGGGCTTGAATCTGGACGACATTTGTATCTTGATGAATCCGCGCTGGCGACAAGAAATATCGGAAAGCAGCACGTGAACTCGAATTGGGACGGGAGTTTGATTAAGAGATTGGAGCCGCTTGGGTTACCCGCGAAGTCTAATTGAAGCTCTTAACTAACAGCATCTATACTAGGCACAAACCTAGAGTGAAAATAAAAGGAATTTGTTTCTTGGGCCCTTTAGAATGAGCAATAGATAGAGTTTGTGGAATATGTATACCTATCAAAGAGAAAAATATGCGCTATAATGACTTGCATATTATGGTAGGAGGGCTTGGAGCAAACATACTCCCCCTGGGCAAATTAAACAATGGTATAAAATAGCTTATCAGCGCAATATAAAATAGACGTATGTCTGAGGGAAGCAGTGAAAAAAACCAAGACCAAGGAGTATAGCATCTGTCTGACGTAAATGAGATGTTCCCAAAATTTTCAACCGCCCTTAAACCAAAAGAAAAACACAGTACATGCAAAACACCGTAACACCATAGAATATGCACAAAATTATTACTGCATCAAATCTGAACCTGCGTCTTATCTCGACACACCGTAAAACCCTGGTAGAGAGGCCACGAGCGAAACAACAGTTGTACATCCAATAACGAAAAAAAAACGATACCAAACGAAATCAAAATTAATCCCTTAGCCACGCCCTCCGTTTCTCTTCTTTCCTCTCTCTTCTTTTCTCTTTAAAGGCTTTCAGCTCCTTTTTCGTTAGCTTCTTCCCGCTCCGCTCGGCCTTGAGGCTCTTGCCGTCATGGTTATTGGCCGCCGCATCCACATCGAAGTACGCCTGCATCTGTCTCCTAGTTTTGTTCTCATCGTTGAAGTTCTCCGGTGTCAAGGCACCCGCCTGCCATTTACCCGTAAACCGGTTGAACGTGCCCGTTGCTGTGTATATATAATTTGAGTCGGAAGAAGAGAAAGCTGCAGTTGACGCGCCTAGTTCTGGCTGCTGGGTCACCTGGGCATATGGTGCGGTGGGATCATAGTCACCGTGGATGGCGGGATCGTAGCCGCCAGCAACTCGCGGTTTGCTAGGTTGCTGCCGCTCTGATGACTCTGAAGCGTCTGTTTGTTGCGATTGTTGCTGTGCGTCGGGTACCCGAGGATTCTCCCACTGCGAGAGACCAGTGAAGCGGTTATAAAAATAATAAGCTTGTGCAATGTCATCCCAAACCGGATCCCATCCGTCATCTTCAGCTTGGCCAGGAGGAGCTTCTTCAGGGAGGGGAGGTGGGAGCTCTTCTTCTGGTAAGGGTGGAGGAGAGCTATCACGCTCTTCTCCCTCCTCCTTCTCCTCCTCACCTTGCTCGCCTCCCTCAAGCACTTCTCCTGACTCCTTATCGTTATCCTCATCCTTGTTACCTAGAATATCTTGCTGTTCCGCATCTTTACTCTCCCTTGTTGACTCGTGTTTGGGAGTCTCTAGAGCTCTTGTCTCTGACTGTGGCGCGTCTTTTTGGCCAGCAAGAGCGTCAACAGCGACTTTCGAAGCCATTCTGTATTAGCAGAGCCCTACCCCAAATATAAACAAAGGAAATGGTTCATAAAGATCAAGCGAGTGCGTCACCACGGCATTGCCTCAGAGGAATACAGCGTCAGTTTGTCGCGAATCTCCAATATGCATTGATAGCTTCCAAGCGGTGCTCTGCGTATCCTCTTTGGTGTCTCTAAAAAGAAGCTTCTCTGCAATGTTGCGCCATGGCGTCATGTGATTGGTCGATTCGGGTTTAGTGTTGGAACATTGAAATTCCCCCCAACCGTTCGTTAATGGAAATTGACATTTGATGTTGGACTAATAATATATACAATAACAGCAATCTATAAACAAAATTTATATATACACGACCTGTGGCTTTTCATTTTTTACAAAACAGCCGATAAACGGACATTGCTCAAAACGCTGGATTAATATGTCCTTTTCTTTGGTGCCACGCTTGGGCAATCTGTCTCATCCAACGTCGCAAAAATAACATCCCGATAACCCACCTTAACCGGCTCCGTCTCCTCCGTCTGCCACGAGAGGCTGTGTTTTAATAACCGCACATCATCTCGATCAGGGAAGTCTTCACGAGCATGGCTACCTCTGCTCTCTTTCCTGTCCAAAGCGCTTTTAGCCGTCTGAGCAGCACACGTGAGAAGATTCCTCATCTCCAAGGTCTCAATCAAATCAGAATTCCAGATTAGTGATTTGTCCTTTACGCAAACATCATGTTTGAATGAGTGCTCAACCTGCTGTACTTTAGAGACACCAGCCGTGAGCGAGTCTTCTGTTCGAAACACCGCGACGTCAGACTGCATGGCCTTTTGCATGTCCAAGCGCAGCTCGGCAGTTAATTTGCTTCCGTCTGATGTGCGGAGTCGTTCCATGTCTTGGAATGATGGCATACCGATATCCCTTGGAACGGAGCTGTGCGGCATTCCATTTTCGTTGTTTTCTGCAATATGAGTGGCACTTGCACGACCAAACACGGCAATGTCGAGCAGGGAGTTGGCTCCTAGTCTATTTGCGCCATGTACGCTCACACATGCAGCCTCTCCAGCTGCATAAAGTCCGGGGACAGGTGTCTCTTTTCCGGTTGCAAGATCAACGTTTAGGACTTGGCCCTTGTAGTTGGTTGGGATACCGCCCATACAATAATGGACGGTGGGAAGTACGGGAATCGGTTGCCGGGTAATGTCAATGCCCGCGAAGATAGAGGCCGTTTCTGCAATTCCAGGAAGCCGTTCTAGGATCAGTTCCTTGGGAAGATGGGATAGTTGCAAGTAAATATGATCCTTGTGTGGACCAACACCCCTTCCCTCTCTGATCTCCATGTTCATGGATCGGGCCACCACGTCTCGGCTAGCAAGGTCCTTGGCGGTTGGCGCGTATCGTTCCATGAATCTCTCTCCTTCAGAGTTAAGTAGGTAGCCTCCTTCTCCACGTGCACCTTCGGTAATCAGCACACCTGCGCTGTATATTCCGCTAGGGTGAAACTGAACAAATTCCATGTCTTGAAGAGGAAGGCCAGCTCTAGATGCCATGGCGCACCCGTCACCCGTGCTAGTATGTGCGGACGTGCAGGAGAAATAGGCGCGGCCGTATCCACCAGTCGCTGTCGATTCATTAGCCGATACAAAAGCACAACAGGGAAAAGTATTTACCTATGATTGTGTTCCTGCTGAACAGACGGTGAAGCGTGCCGGTTTCCATGTCAAGTGCAGTTACACCGACGCACCGGCCATCGACCATCATCAGGTCTAAGGCGAAGAACTCAATGAAAAATTTGCAATCATGCTGTGAAGCAGTTAGCTTGAAAGACCGTTCATATGCCAATTAAGCTCAATCTGACCTTTAAAGATTGGCCATACAAGGCATGCAGCATCGCATGTCCGGTACGATCAGCTGCACACGCAGTTCGATAGGCTTGGCCGCCAGAACCGTATTTCAAGGATTGTCCTCCAATAGGACGCTGCAATCTCTCTAATCGGTCAGCTCTGTTCAAGCAACTAACGGAGCCTTTTATGAATATATCTGACCTGATAAATCTTGCCCTCTGCAGTCCGGGAAAATGGCATCCCATATCCTTCCAACTCTAAAACGGTTTTCGAGGCTTCCTTGCACATGTAATGCTGGTTGCCGTAAGCTTAAAAAATGTAGCATGCGAGGGATAGGCTGATAGAAACACGTACAATTGCATCCTGATCCCCTAGCCAGTCTGAGCCTTTAACCGTATCATACATATGCCATCTCCAGTCGTCCTCTGTCATATTGCCAAGGGCAGCATTGATACCGCCTTGAGCAGCTACAGTATGTGATCTCGTTGGAAACTACTCCATTTTTCACATCCATGGTTGCGCAAGTCTGAGTTAACGTTTCTCAAATCTCGTTCATCCATTGTATATATGAAGTTTGAATCGAATGCGAGCCAAAGCTTCATTGAGCCTTGGAATGAGAACAGCAAGACTGGTGGTGGACAACCTACCAATTTTGATATACAGGCGGTTTCCAGTCCACTTTCCGCCAAGCCAACGGCCGCCATAAGACCTGCTCCTCCTGCACCAACAACAAGGGCGCTGGAACAAATCTATTAGCATTGTATTAAAATCTTGGATGATTCCGTTAAGTGTCAGCGAAATCCGTACTCATATCGGTGATCAATTATCTGGGTATGATTAAGCCCAACAGCCTTTGCCTGCCCAACCCCTTGTAGCGCATATAGTCCTGACGTGGAGCTGAAACTCCTCTTCCATAACCGCTGGTTGTCAAGGCCTGCCGACGGCTTCCTTATGTAGCCATTATATTTCGGGAAATAGGAGGTAGAGGATAGGTGCATGTCGACTTTGTCGGCCAAGGGGAAGTGCCGGCGGGTTGGCGCGAGGATCCTCCTCATGGGCATGGATGCTTGAGAAAACATCGTCATGTAGCGTGTAAAATCAAACCGCTAATTGCTAATATTTGTGTGTATCTTCATCTGATCTATAAGGCTCTTTCGCAGCAGTTTCAACTGGAATCGAACCCCGCAATTTCATGCAGAATCGGCGTGGATTTCTCTTATCTTTCAACAGAAAATCAACAACACTGGTTTGATGAGGATTGTGCTTCCCCCTTGCAGTTCCCGCTCCTCAAAACCCTCTCGTCTCTGCTTCGGATTGAAATAAAGACCTGTACCACTTATTGCTGAGGGTTGAGTGTGTTCAATGAGATGTTAAATCCCCCGGAGAACAACAAAAAGAAAGAAAATCGCACTTGGAGTAAAATCAATAGACATTCAACAGAAAAATGTGAGAAATCAGAAAAGGAAATTGTTGATTGGGCAAGATAACCGAAGGCTGAGGCCAAATAATTCGCTTATTTAGGCTGTGAGTACTCCCTAGAATGTAGAGGAGATTCCATCTCGAAAACGGGCATATTGTCCCAGGTGGAGAAGCTGTGTAACGCCCAGCGCGGGGTTTGCCTTGCGCGATTTCTCGAGTTGCCAGGCATGTCCTCGGTAACGTCGGCAGTTAGTTACATGGATTCCGAACCGTCTCGGGATTGCACCGCTCGCTCGACCTTTGAAGGGCACGGACGAACTCTAATGGAGCGATTATTTATAACCTTTTGTATTGCGTTCGAGGGGAACTCCGCTGTCAGGCTTAGCGTCTAATACACCGGCTTGGTGCGTCGCAGACCCCGGATGGTATGTGTATTCGAGAGCGACGCTGGCTTTACAGTGTCGTACTTTGAGGGGTTGTACCGGGTGTGGTTATATGGAGATGAGATCTCGGGCCAAATCCGCGGCTATTCGGATTGAACGCACCAACTGGTCTCAGTGGTCTGCCGCCCGGGTGTTGGTAGTAATGTGTCAACGTCGACAACCCCAGGTGCTGACATCAACTACTGATGAGATAAAGGTATGATGATAAAGTAACTATCAAAAATAGATTGCTGCGGATATTTAGTTCAATATCATTTCCCTCCTTTTCACCTGGTTGTCATTTGGAGGTCTTCATGAGTGCCTTCATGAGGTTAAGTGCCCTCGAATTTCACAATGGTTTGTTACATGATCATGGCTCTGGCGCATGTGTGCAGCTGCTGACACTGACTTGGATCACTCAAAATATCGGCAATCAATAGCCGGTATGAGAATAGCCATAGTCCATAAGACGTTAATTATATCGATGGACTGGGATCCTTTCTGTTCGCAAACGCATTAATATAAGAGGAGCGCTGGGTTATTGCCTTGGGAGGCGAAGATGTATGAACATGATGGGTTGGACATCCTGAGAGAAAAGCAGGTGGGGCAGGCTGAGGGGTGAACATATAAAACAATGTCCGAGGAACCCGTCCGCCGTCCTGGATTCCTGCAGTTGGATCCCACGGGTAAATGGATTTTATCTCTTGATCCTCGATCACGACCCCATACTCGCCCCCGGATCCCCCCCCACCCCCCAGAGCACAGCATTCTCAGACAAACGAAGAAAATTGAGGGATCTGGGAAGCAAGAACTCATATTCATTCCAATCAGAGGCGTTCTAATCTGACTCTGCGACACCCTAACAAAGCACTCCGGGCCCCGCGGTGGTTGGACAGCTTTCAGACAAGACACTTCTACTGCCTAGCGTTCGATTCCCACAGAAAAGTTCGACGGGTTCAAAATTTTACATGTGTCGGTTAGCCAGTGAACATCGGTCCGTTCGTTCCATCCGTCTGCTGTGGTGAGATAACTACGCATATTGCATACGTTCTTACATAACTATTGGCCTCAGACAATCACGCGAGAGGTTCTTCTCTCAATAATTCGTCGTCGCAGCCCACCCAGCAGCGGTTTAGTCTAGGCTTGTGTGGCTGCCACCACGCCTCTGCAAAGGCCCATTTTTCAGGTATGAGCAAAGCGGGGGCGGGGGGCTTGAAAGGAAATCTGCGGTCACGGAACGGGGAGCTTTTTCTTACAGCCTTGCAAAGGGCAAACCTCCTTGATCGATAATTATTGGGGAATTCGCCACGCAGCCAGCCAATCTCCAACATTCCAGTGGTCATTATTACTGAAGAACGTCACATATCACAAAAGAACTGAGTAGTGTCCGCCAAGTTCTGTATATCCAACCGTTAAGGGAAAAGGCTTGTCGATCAATTAAGTCAGGACCCACGAACCCTAAAACCTTGTTTCTTCACCTATTGAAATTCTCCCATGCTTTGTGGTCTGTACTCAGAAGGTTGGCAGAGTTACTACTGTACCGCTCGCTGAGTTCCAAGTTATCAACTCACTGGCTTCAATAGCCTTCATGACTCAATGATCTGGAGCTCAAAAATCAAGATTCGATCCCAATGAGGAACAAAATGGGAAATGATCAACTGCGCTCAGTACATATGCAGTTCTTTTTTTGAGCAGGATCGTTTCCAATCGTACAAAGTACTTGTAACTCTTGAGTTCCAGCCACCAGCCTATTTTTCGCCTTGGCTTTCAATTACTAGTGCGGCGAAGATCATTTCCTAATACCCAAGTGCAGATCTTGCATGGCGGGCGCCGTGGCATCGCAAGGGGGGTTTTGTTGCTTAGCTCCGCTCACGCCCGGCTGGACGCAGAGGAGCCTTGGGACAGTTTGGTTGGCAAAATGTTGAGCACAGAGTTAATTACTTCTAGTAATCTTGGAACTTCTGACTTGGGGCTTTTCTTTTTCTTTTTTCTTTTCTTGTCTTTTCTTTTTCTTTTTCTTTCTTTTTTTTTTTTGGTGCGCTTGGTGTGAGATGTTGGAAACACATCCCACATCGCGTGGACTTGACTGAGGTGGAGCTCTTAGCCATCCCGTAGAACGCAAGATCCACCACGGCAAATGGTTACGGGCTGTTCCAGTGAAGCTGGAAGTCTGCAGCTCTATGGACGGGTGGTGTGTGACGTGCAGTAAAGTAGATTCCTTCCAGTGGTAACATGTTGCATGTGTGTTTACTCTTGTCACTCTCAAAACCATCTTCTCGTGCCAGCAGTGGCAGAACAAATTTTAACACAGGAAACTCATAGGAATCGTTCAGATATAATTGGACACTTTGTCAAACCATTGAAGATTGTTTCATCAAACGGCGCTGACGTGATCTCCCAGAAGCTGAAATCAAGGTGAAGGAAACTACAGTAGCCGTTTGTCTTTCGACAATGGTTTTGGGAGTCGTCAGTCGATCGCAATAATGGCACAGGGGAAGCTTTGCGCAGCCAATCCAGTTCATGGTCGAGGCCCCACCGTGACAAGGCTGGTGAAGAATACGAGAGCGGAAGCGGTAGAAGTCTTACAGTACGTTTTGGAGACTTACAAGGGTAGCGACCCACATCCAGCTGACAAAGTGAACTGATATTCACCCTATGAGCTGTCTAATACTTTTTCGACTCTTGGAGCTCTGGCTCCAAACTCACTCAGTCTACCCCAGAATCCAGAAATTATTTTGAACCAGGAACAATCTAGGAAGATGAGCCAGATTAGGACGTGGCACCGCAAAGCATTCAGCCTCAATCGCGAGTCGTCAAAGCGCAGGGGATAAATCACATTCATGGTTCTTGGTTTTGTCTGTGCTGGTCTTTTAGAGAGCTCCGTGGGCTGAGCATCCCTGAATACCAAGAAGACCGCACGCGATTCAAGTTGATAGTGTAGTATTGTCAACCGCTTGTACCGTAACTTTACAATACAATCCCAAGCGGTTGAAATGTACGGGGTTCACCGTTTGTTGTCGCATCATTCAGCGTGTGCCAGTTGAAACTTTTATGTACCGTCGGTTATGGAGCTTAGCAGCACCAACTCCACATTAGTGTGGACGAAATATTTTGGCCAAAAGATTCAGGCATCATGAATGACGGGCGAGGTGAGGAAAGCGTCGAGGTTGAAGCAGCGAAACCCGCAAGAGATGGATTTGTTTCGCGGTAATTGGCAGACGAACCAGCCGGGAAAGAAAATAAGGAAACATATTCAGGGGCAGTTTGCGCCAATCGACATCATCGGTCCCCGTCCCAAGAGCCACTCCCAGTCCTCGTTACTGACTCCACTCGCTGGGCTAAGAGGCAGGATCGGCAAGCTAGCGTCTACAACGGATGAGCTGTTATCCATCAGACATTCAACCTTCCTTGGTTTCCAGGCTTATCACTATTTACACGGCTGCAATATCGATAGCCATTTGATATTGAGCCTGTGTTCGCGTTGTGAGCTCAATGTCTTATTCAGTGATTCCCTTTGCCCCTGCATTTTTGACTCTGGGCGCAATGCCAGAACCATGGAATCCGGCAGCATCTCAAATCTTTTATCTGCCCAAAAAGTAGGGGCATTTTTTCAATAGTTCATCCGCAACTATGTTGATTTGCCTTTTTCTTTTTCAGTTCTCCTAGATCCAACAGGGAGCTCTGGGAGCAAGGAAGAGCATGGGAGGTTCACCCCGGCTGGTGCCAACATTGAGTTTCATGTACAATATTGGGCAGAGAAGAAAAAGAAAAGAAACACAGATTGCACAGCGAACTTACACGAATATGTGACAAGCTGTGTCACTATCTTCGAATCCTTGCTTAGATACTTTGCATGTCCAACATTTCCTCTTTGGGCCTCTAGCAACCAGGTTTTGGCGCGGCCAATTGACGTTGGTTTTTGCGTTTTTTTGGCTGTCAAAAAATTACACCCAGAGGGCTGGTAGAATTCTCGTTGAGTAAAAGGGGAAAAGTCGTCAGTTGAACCAAGCAATTTTTTTTTTTGGGGAGCTGCTCTCCGTCGCCGTATTGTCTTTACCGTTCAGGATCCTGCAAGAGACAGGGGCATCAATCTTGTTCATGCTCTCGGATTAGGGAGCTCTAGATATCTATAAAAGGACACTCTCCGCCACTCCACCTGCATGTTCCTTTTCCTTTCTCCATCATCAGCATAAATATTCCAGACTTCACTCTTTGAGCATCCTGAAAAGCTCGCTCTTTTTTCAGTCCTTTTACATATAACTCTTAATATTCCCCACTCTCCCGTCAAAATGAAGTTCTCCCTGACTGCTGTTGTCCTGGCTCTTGCCACCGCCGCCGTCGCTGCCCCAGGTGGTAACTACAAGGGTGCTGGTCCCAGGGAAGAAGGTCCTTCGATCTCGAGACAGTGTGGTCAAGCTCAGATCTCCTGCTGCAACAAGCAGATCAGCACCGTCAATGGTGGTGATAAGAACTCTGGTCTCCTTAATGGTGTCCTCGGCACTGTCATCGGCAAGGGCGGCAGCGTCGGTATCTTTGATCAGTGCTCCAAACTCAGCCTCAGCGGTAAGTTTTTGACGGCATTATTCGTTCAGAAATATCGAATTTTAACTAATATTTGGTATAGCCCTTATTGGTGTCACAGACAACTTGAACTCTCAATGCAAGCAGACCGTGGCATGCTGCCAAGGAGATAGCAAGGCTGTAAGTTGAAGCTTGAAACCCGGTCCTGCCCGCCTCAGAGGTGAAATTTTGGATATTCGACGACTAACGTGCAAAACAGGAGGGTCTCGTTGCCCTTAACCTCCCTTGCATTCCTATCGCCGCCCTCTAAGCGCTTTCGCACCTTCAACATCCCACTATTCATTTCAATTCTTCGTCCCTGTGCCTCTAGCCATTTCGGGAGGCTAGGCTTTCGAGCCCTCGCTAGTCAGGGGTGGGGGTTGCTTTGCATAGTGTCTAGGAAGAAAAAGAGACATCCGAATATTTTTGAACAGGAATATATATTCTTCCCATAGCTTGCAATGTTTTTGTTCAGAAAGCCCTTTCATTCTCTTGTCTCTGAGCGTAGCTTTTGTGTATATGAGGTTGGTTTGGAGCATGATAATAAGATGTTTTTTGATGCTCCCTTGCGTGTGTACTTACCAGGTCGTTGTTAAATACTTAATAATAGAGTCTTGAAGCTTGATGGTTCCAATATCCATTTGTCTTTCCAGTTTCGTTCTTCAATACTTCGTGACCATCTTCTGAATCCCTCTATCCTGGTGGCCCTTGTTGACCCATTGTCTTTAGATGGTTGTTGTTTCACCATTTCCCCTTCATCCCCAGCTATTAGCCTTGGGCAATGTAAGCACACCCACCTCCCTTCCCCCCCTTGTGGTCACATACATACCCTGTATCCTTTCTTGCTCCGTAGCCATGTAGTGAAACGCTCGTAAAAGTCAGGACCAAGTTCTTGTCCGAGCAGTAAGACTGGACCTAATTCAGGGATTGCAAAAATGCCGAGTCTCCGTTGTACATAGGGTACCAAATAACTGTACCGCACAAAACTTGGCAAGCCTCTTCCCGATCCATTCTGTACCAGAAGGTGCAAAAGAACGTATGCCTCCAGAATATAAAAGGAGGTGTGGTACACGTATGCACAATGAGAAATTGGCGTGACACTTTGGTTATCTTGGGTCAAGTAATACTTACAAAAACGAGAAATGAAAGTTCTTCCAAGTTGCTAGTCGTAGGTTCAAGATAATAATGGATTACATCCGCCACCTTAACCTGTACATGTAGTAATAATCCAGCTTCAGACCATGCCTCCAAGGCTGTCTCTGATCTTCCTGTGCTCTCGTGGAAGGTCAAGGTATTGTTGTGTAACCGTATGCCGCATCAAGTGTCTCTCCCTTTCGTGTTTGTCTTGTCAATATACACCTAGGCCCGGGCTGTGTACATGTACAGTAGTACATACATACAGTACACATAGTTACCTATGAAAGAAATGTAAGGTATGGAAGTAGTCAAGAATGTCATTTGCATACTGCTGTCTCCTCTCTCTTCTTCCACTCTTCTGTGTCCTCCCCTCTCTCTAACTCAGCTGTATGAGAGGTTGGACCACATTTATATATTGAGACACTGAATCACCCTATTCCTGATAAAAGGAAAAGAAAAAAGGAAAAAAGGAGGAAGGTCTTATATAAGTGACAGTTTGATATAGATAATAACAATTGAAGTGCCGGTGTGGTGAGAAATAGTGTTTCTGAAATAGCTTCATTGCTAAAGGCTGATATCTGACATTAGTTACCATAACTAGTCTGTAAGATGGGCGTCCTTTTTCGGCGGTGTTTTCATTTCTGGTCACGTGATGAGAAACCTACGCCGCTTTCACATCTACAACCATTTTCCACATACATACCACAGAGACAGCGATAGTCGCGATGTTGTATCTACAAGATATCAATGCTCGGCCTTGCTGTAGGACAGTAATGATCTACTCCTCACAATGTATAAATTCAATGACTTCTGCTCCTTGAAGCATTTCCTTCATTCACTCTCAGTGATACTATACTGTCTTTACTGTCTTTGCACACACACTTATTTACACTGCTCCTTTCCAGTCTTCTTGTGCTAGTTACTTTCTCCACTTCCTCCTGTTATCTGAATGACATGTTTTACCAATGGACTCGCTTATGGAAGTCCTCCAATCCCACCAAGGAGAGCTGACATGCCCAGAAGAAGATAGTTGAGGAGCTCACCTCAGATGAATACTATGCAAGAGATACTGTCAGATTGGCTCAATTCCAGATCACAGGCAAGAAATATGCTGATGCCACAATTATTGCCATCAATCATGTTCAGTACTTCTGGGATTGGCGAGCCTCATACATATCAGATCCATGGTGGAATCTGCTGACATCTCTTGTGAAGACACTGTCCATTTATGGGGGTTGATGCCACTCTCACCTTTCTGCATATGTGGATGAGAACTTCTGAGTCTGTGCTGATTGGAGATTGAAAAATTTCAACATCATCAAACAAAGTACAATTTGAGTTGAATGGAAATTCCTTCAATTGCTCTTTAAAAGGGAGACAGGTCAAAAGGTGGATGAATTGATGGGTGAACTAATCAGTGAGGTAGAGCCCCAGCCCAAACATCATTCTCCTCATTTCTAAAATTCTCAGAATTAGTTCATCCTGGGTCCTCTGACTGATGAATATGATTTGGACCTGTCAATCAATTACAAACTGGTAGTGAGTGTGGAAGACCTTGTGGTCATTCTCCACTACCATTTGGTGTTTGAATACAGCATCTGTTACTCATGAACAATATACCCTGCAGAATTCATTGCTCATGTTGTTTATCACCTACACCTCAACATGGCCCAGAGCACTTATTGAGAGTGGTTGTCTTCATGGTTCCAATGATGCCTTCTGCTATAAGGATATTGTGCTGTGTGTGATTCCTATTCCAGATCAACCAGACCAGCATGTACTTGTGATGGAAGTATCTCTGGTGTTCATGAAGGGGAAGTAGAACAAGTCACAACCTTGAGCTCTACCTGCCTGGCATTTTATCTTCATAAAACTCACTTGGACAGGACAATCTATATTTTCCATGAATGAGATGACAATCTCATGCTTTGTCCTGTCTCCCACTTCCTTGCCCTGGCACTGGCTGATGATGCATTTGATGCAAGAGACATCAACTCAGTTGAAGATGTGCTCCACATTTAGGTTATGGCACCCTATAACAGCCTGCATTTGAAATGGAAACCCCACATGCTCAATATCCCTGTGTTCCGTTGACCGTACACACTGCAGAGGGAATTCAGATCTCTCCAGACAAAGCTCTGCCCTATTTTAGGCGAAATTGCATCAGGGAAGAAGAGAAGTGGACATAGTCACCATGTCGAGAACTCGAGAACAGTTTCAGGTGCGGCACAGCTGGGCCAGGTGACACTGGCAGTGGGGCTCAAGGGGAAGAGATGGGTACGGCACACACGAAACAAGAGAATTATGAGGAAAGAAAGAGAAAAGAGGGACGATGGAGAGAAGATATTCGAGCGGCGGGAGGAGGGGAGTTATATAGTCCAAGGAAGCGGCGATGTTGCGCTAACCTCGATCAGGATGGCGCTAAACCCAATCCCTCATGATACGGTATACCTAGGTATAATATCACCGAAGGGAAATTGCATATTATCAGGATGGGGAGAGTGATGAATATCTGTCTTATTGCATCCGTGAGGCGACAGTTTTCTGGTAGGCCGGACATGAACATTGTATATTGGAATTGAGATCTCGACGACTCCACACCCTCCCTCCCCCTTACATATTATTGTAGGTATGTAAATTTGTCGGGATATCGAGATTTATGCCATTTCTCGTCAAGCACGAAGACATTTTTTTTTTCTTGGGCTTTAATGTATCGACGGTATCGGTGACCTGAGTGTTCTCCATTGCTTCCTTGACACCGTAATTCCTGCTCTCTGGGTTAGGTAATGCGAAGCACCTGAGAGAGCATCTCCGTCGGTGGACAACGGTGTGGTCTGTCCAAAGATAATAGCTTTGTGATGTGCTGGCAGTACTAAAAGTCGGGCTAATGGCCTGTATCAGCAGGATATGTACGTTCTTTTATAGGTTGATGAAGAATAAGGATCGGCACCATCAGGACCCAGAGTGATGAGAAAGAACAGAGCCACCTGGACGTGTTAATAGGAATGACCCCAGCCCTTAGGGTGAGCGACAATAACGGTGAAGAGTGACGGGGAGGATAGGAGAGCCAAAGTCGACAGATATAAACAACCTCTACCTTCACGGCGCTTGTAGAGGTAAATCGAAAAGTTCGGATATCACTTGAGGCTGAGGGGAAGTTTCGGATATATGAAGAAAGATCCGCCGTCCGTAAGGCATGGAGGGAATCATTGCAATCAACTCCAAAAAGACACAATGTTTATTATGAACTTTATTTTTTCTCTTTTCACTATCATCAACACTGGACAACGTAGGTTTCTGGGCAGACAAATAGTGCCTGATAAATAAAAATGGTAAGGAGTAAAAGCAATACGACAAATTTGATCAGAAAAAATAAATGAACAACCATAAAGAAGACTGCAACATATATATATATATATATATGTATATGGGTATATTCGTGAAATGTACTGCTACAAACCCATAAACATATGTGTCTCATTGCTTATATGCATATCTATATAGAAGAATATACAAAAAATCTATCCACCTACTCCCCTCCTACTAGGTTCAGGACAACAGGGAACAGCAATAGAGATCAGAAACGAAACCAACTAACCACCGAATGAAAACAAAAGGCGGGAAAAAATAGGAGAATCAAAGTTTAGCCGTTGGGGTGTAGAGTTTGTTGGTCTTTGACATGGCTTCAACAGCCTCTTTCTCGATACGAGTTAGAAGCTCTTGGCAGGTGGGGATATCGTGGATCAGGCCGATAACTTGACCAGCAGTCCAGACCTATATTAGATGTTAGAAATACAGATCCACAGGCATTCGTGGCAGCCACAACATCAACAGAACGAATACATACACCATGGTCAACATCACCATTGATGAACACTTGTCGTCCGCGCTTTCCACTGACAAATGGAGCAATCTGCGAGAAGTCATCCGAGGTCGCTGCCTTCTCGATCTTGTATGCCTCCTTGGCAACCTTGTTATTGAAAAGGCGGCTGGTATTTCTCCATCTCCGCAGGAGAAGTTGGGTATCTTCCTCGCTAGCATTCACAATAGCCTTCTTCACATTCTCATGAATGGGAGCCTCGATAGTGGCCATGAATCTCGTGCCCATATTGATACCCTCCGCGCCCAACGCCAGTGCAGCAGCTAGACCGTATCCGTCCGCAAATCCACCGGAGGCAATGAAAGGGACGCCAAGTGACTGACGCGCGCGGTTGAGCAGGATAAAGTTTGTGATATCATTCTCACCGACGTGGCCTGCGCACTCGAAGCCGTCGATGGAGAGGAAATCGACACCCAGTTTCACGGCAGATTTGGCATGTCTGATCGTAGTGCATTTGTGCAGAATGATGATATTGGCTTTCTTCAGCTGGGAGATGACCGGCCCGGGACTGTTTCCGGCTGTCTCGACGATGCGGACTCCCTCGTCGATAATCACCTGGGCGTAGGCGGCGTAATCTGGTGGGACGAGGGCGGGAAGGAGAGTGAGATTCACGGCAAAGGGCTTGCTGGTCATGGTGCGACATCTGCGAATTTCCTTGCGGAGGTCTTCTGGGGTTGGTTGGGTGAGGGCAGTAAGCTGGGAGAACCATATGTCAGTGGAACTGGATGTGCTGTGTCCATGAATATGAATATATTTTTTTCTTCTTGCTTCCCACGGTGGAATAAACAAGATCTCTCTGTGTCTGTTTAGTATGTATTTGAGGCTGGGGATTTACGTACAATTCCGAGGCCGCCAGCATTGCTCACTGCAGAGGCAAGCTCAGCGTAGCCAACCCATTGCATTCCACCCTGGACTACGGGAACTGGTAGAAAACGGTAAGCCTGTGAATACCTTAGACTGCGGCAGGCGAAACTAATCAAGCATACCTGTGATACCCAATTTCCGGGTAAGGGCTGTGTTGAAACCCATTCTAAAGAAAAGGGATTGAGGGCGGGGAGGGGATGGTGGTGAACAAAGAGCCCCCTCTAATCTATCAGGACTCTATCAACAAACAAAACCAGACACCAGGGAGGGATTAGTCTAAGAAGCACACAAGAGAAGCGGATGAAGATCTGAAGATATATGAATATCGCAGCTCCTTCCCCCCTGCAGAGAGCTCTTTTGGATGAACAACTTTGTATTTCCTCTCCCCCAGGCTTGGATTCTTTTGCGGTAGAACCGAGAGCCGAGGTTCAACTTTTCACGTGGACACACAGAGGTCACGTGGAATTTTCTTGTGCCGCGGGCGTCGCTTTGGCCGAGTATGAAACTCGATTAATCATCAAGAGCGTACTCAGTTTATCCATAGAATAGTGTAACTAACCTAGGTTCAAAGCAGTGATTAGAAGATTGAGATTCTGGATTGAATCAGCTAATGGTGAGGTAGGAATAACAATAGGGCTCTGTGGTTTGGATGGCATCATTTTGTTTGTATTGGACACAGTGTGCAGAGCAACAATGTTTGGTTGACTTGGTGTTGCCCTACGATTGAATATTTCAAGAGGGACTGAAGAGAAGATGGGCCAGTAGATATAAAGGTTGTCTGTAAGGTGCTACAATTCAGCTGCCAAATAAGTATTAATTAGAAATAATATGAATAAAATGGTAGTGTTGGCTGATGGTTGTACATTTGGGCTATTAGATAATATATCGTGGAGTAACAACAGGAATTCTTTTGGCTTTCGAGGAAATTTCCTTTGTACAACCTTGTTGCATCGAAGTGCCTTTGAGCTTTACTATTGACATCTTCAAATAGTAAATTGGGGTAGAGGTGAATAGCCATAGCTCCAAATCCATTCCACATATATCTGATCTATTTATCCATCCCGTATACAAACGCACACACCACACACACACACACTCACTCACACACACACTTACCACACAAAACCCTTTCCACGATAAAGTATATGGGAAAATTCCATTTAATCGCCCCATCTTATCATATTAAGGCCAAGCTTGTCCTGCAATTCATCATGTAACCCTGATATGAAACCCTCTTCTCTCATTGACAGAAAGAAATGGGCGATTAACGACAGGTCGAAGATTCAAAGAAAGATATCTCTTCTTCTGAGGAAACCCCGTTGTTTTCATCCAGGAGTCAACGACAGAAAGCCGCAACTATTTAGCGGATGGTTTCGCCATTTGACATCTGTGTCATGCCATTTCCACCACCAACACTGGAGTACAGTAGAATTGGGGGTAGGGGTAAACGATGCAGGCTGAGGTCCTTAACGAAAGGAAGAGAAAAAGAATGGAAGAAAAAGCATGATGAAAGAGGTTAGGGTTGCCCGAAAGAACGACGGACAATCGTTGTTCCGAGTAGTAATTGGAGGCCTGTGGTTGGTCAGGCTGAACTGTGCGCGGTTGCAAAAGGCCGAGGTTCTTCCCGTGATTTCCTTCCAACTTCTGCCGAATGTTTCCTTGACAGCGACTGATATATTGATTCATTGACATCGATTGATTGGGATCGATTGCCAGCAGAAGTTTGTTGACATAAAGGGCGTTGCTGAGCCCCCCAAATCATATCACCATATCACCATGTTTCCCCAAAGAGTTGCTCAGCAGTCGTTGCGACGGCGTAAGTAACCAGTGAATTCGTACACTAATGCCCTGTGGGATGTAGAATGGCTGAAGGCGAGAGAGAGAAGATAACTGACAGACGAAATAGTTGCTGCCCACAATCCCTCTCAACTGAGGATAGCCGTTTCGAGAATCGCAGCTCCCGTGGCCATTGCGACCGGCAACCATATTCAGACCAGGTCAGTTCGCCTCGATTAAGCACCAATCATATTTACATTTCCACATCAACACATCAAACAAACGCAACGGCGAAAAAAAAAAAAAAAAAAAAAAAAAAAAAAAAAATCATACCTGACACCTCTGTCTCTCTCTCACACATACACAGATCTACGACCTCATCCACAACCGAAGACCCATCCCAAATTCTCCCCCGCCAGCGCCTCAATCGCCCCGTCTCCCCACATCTCAGCATCTACCAGCCCCAGGTAACCTGGGTCCTCTCCTCCCTCAACCGCATCACCGGCGTCGCTCTAGCCGGCAGCTTGTACATCTTCTCCTCCTTCTATCTCGTTTCCCCTTTGCTAGGCTGGCATCTGGAATCTCACATGATCGCAGCAGCGTTTGGTGCTCTACCTCTGGCTGCGAAGGTTGGACTGAAGTTCACGGCTGCGGTGCCGTTTATGTTCCATGCCCTTAATGGATGTAGGCATCTTATTTGGGATTTGGGGAAGCAGTTCTCGAATAAGCAGGTTATTGCTGGCGGGTGGACGGTTGTTGGGTTGACGCTTAGCAGTGCGCTTGCGTTGGCTTGTTTTGTATAATTTGAGAGAGATGTGCGTAGGTGTTAAGTTTGTAGTGGGAGATTGGTGGTGCTTGTTTCAATTTTATTAAAGTTTTCCTGCATCGCCAGCTATCTCTCTTTTTTCTCTCGTTTTGTCTCCTGTTGATGTTGGAGTCTGACTGAAGTTTCCTTTTATGTGTCTATATTATTTGCTATGGCATTTTCGATATAAAAATTGCACAGAACTCTCTATTATGCACGTTAACACCATTTTGCTTCAAAGGAGATTTTCTATTTGGGCTTCTTTCCGTCCAACTCGCAACTGTATTTTCATTACATTAAAAGAATGGCTTGCGGAAATTGGGAAATTTTCTTTCGCCATAATGTGCTACCAGAGATTTGATAGCTTTAGCTAGATCATAAATCCTGGGAGATATGACCTTTTGTCATTTCGGTTAAGTACAGACCAAAGATTTCCAAGTTGATAATCGCCACGCCAATTGAATAATTATCCTGCTTAAGAGAGTGGTTCAAAAGCAAAAAAGAAACAGCATGCCTCAGTAAACTAAAATATCCTCTAAACCCGTTTGTAGGTTTCATTGGGGGTGTTATCTATTTTCCTTGAACACAGAAAGGAAGAGAAAACCTGTGGATGAATAAAAATGAAAATCCATAAATAACTTTTCCCATAATATCCCATTAACAACAAGTAGCAAAGAGAAACATTCTGGAAGACGTTGTATTAGTGCTGCCAGTTTCAAGATGTGTCATCCGTGTCATCGCGTTCCCAGGGGACTTCGTAGGGTCATGATCACTGCCAAACAAACCGGAATGATTAGTATTCCCGCATTTATTCTCAATTTGAATGGGATTGATGGATAATATATTATCATAAAGATGGAATACCGAACCAGACGGTAAAATAGGGGAACTCCAGTGGATGATAGAGATGATAAGTTTTCACAGTGAAAAATAACAGGGAAGTTGACAAACTACCCCTAGCAGGAAGGGTAGAAACCATTCGCCAGGATATAATACAGGAGCAGGGCAAGGGTTTATGAACAGTCTCATTGCAGTTCAATTGGGAAAGAGTAATTTTTGAGATCACTGACTTAGCTGTATGTATACGGTTTGAATTTATATATCAAACGGGACTTGGGGGGGGGTTTGGAGGGTATGGGCGTGGTGAAGGTGGATCTTGGACGGAGAACACTGAATTGCTAGCTAAGACCGTGCTTGAGGGGCCGTACCCTAACGCATATGGTGTGCTTGGATATCGATAGTTCGATTGTGGAAGGCATGAAATGTTCATTCGGTGAATTGGAAAACTTATAGAATTCCCGGCAGCCATTTGAAAGGTGGTGAAAGACTTGATTTGTTGGACGAGTAAGAGGATTTGATTTGAATGATTAGGTTTGCTGAGCAGGTACGTAGTGAAGACGTTGAGATGGAAGTTTTGAGTTAGACAAAAGGATTAAATGAGGAAAACGAGCGACAATATCCTTGTTGTTCTTGATAATGAAGGTAGCAGAAAGAAGTTGCGAGATGCGGGGATCACTGGCAGTTTTATATCACTTATGCATGTTGGAAACTGGCAATCTTAAAAACCAAGAGCATGCGGTGGTATCCGCCTAGGCTATCTAATTCAGAGATTGATTCCATGCGCATTGATGAAGCGAATGTGGAATTAGCAAAAAAAGGACAAAGAAGAGGGGGAAAAATATCCTATGAAATATGCAGGGACCCGTCAAGGCTGAGGTAGTTTCTCCGTGTAACTAGAGGAATAGGCTCCACCAGCCGTGAGACGCATATTCCGTTGGCGAAATGCACAAATGCCAATGTCCCAGTCTCGAAATATGGGGTCTCTTAAAATAAAACAAAAAGAGAGAGGGGGGGGGGGTGGTTTGAACCTGGTACCTGACTAACTCCTGATAGAATCCAGGTGGAGAAGCCAGAAAATTATGCCAATGAGCTCGTCCGGCAAGTGTGAATACGAGAATATAAATCATACGCCTTGACATGAGAAATTGAGTTGACATATTAGTAGTCCATAACAACGAAGCAATGAGTGGGTAAATGCGTGGAGGCCTGGAGTGGCAATAGGCCATTTGTAAGTATCCGAAGTATAGACTTCGAGATCGGAAGTAATTCGTCCAAGTCAACAGCAATAGTATACATGATGGGAAAATGTACATATCCTGCAGTTCCGGAGAAGGAAGATCAGTGCAGCATACGGGAGTAGCCTCCTGGTGTGACAGCAAAAACGGAACAAATGGCCCAGCAATATTGTGTCCAAAAGCTGGGTTCAGCGGGGAATCAAATTCATGCAATAACAGAGCAAGGGAGGAAAAACAAAACGGAAAATATAAAAAGGCTTTCTAGAACACTAATATCAAAGTGTTCTATCTCTCTCCCCCTGTATTGGGCCTCTCTACCCGAAATTGCTGCAACTGTGTTGTCCCTGCAATAGGATGGGGCAAAGTTGTCAGCCTTTAAACCCGTACAGGAGAGATGCAGGAAATACATAACAAGAAAAGAGGAAGACAACAAGCCAATAGATAGAATGTAACCCATCTTTGACACGTGTTGCCATAATTATTATCCAATCTTTCCATGAATTTGAAATCCGAATTCTAATAAGATTAGTATTCCAGGCGGTTGTCCGCCGGTGTATCGTCACCATCATCAAAATTTGATCTGCCAACTGAGAGATGGAACTTCTCAAGCCTTAGTAAACGTCAGAGCATGGCCGCAAAGCAACATCTCGTTAACTCTCATTCGACCTAGTCATGGAATGGCAGCAGAAGTTGAATCTGACGCGCTGAACTGGAGAAGCACGGGAGCTGTCCGACCTAAGAGCTGGCCTGCAACTATTTAGATAGGGCATCCAATGGCATACCGGAGTTGCATCTACCTGTACTATAGTTGACAGCTTGACCATAAACGGGAGTTTGACAAGGACTTACAGCACTATCAAGAGCAGATTGATGACGACCCTTTTTTGCAATGTTAACTAACATGTTTCGTGGAAGTTGTTAAGTTAGGGCAGGGTTCCCGATCGGGATTAGTCCGGGATCGCCGAAAATCTTCCCCAAGATCTATCAAAAGTGATCAGCCCAAGCCGCGACTCAATTTACACCCAACACCCCCAGATGCTATTCTTCTGCCTCCGATGATATCGAAGATACCTGGCCAGGCTTTTGCTGCACTGACGCGGCTAGGGCGCTGGCATGCTCCTTCTTCTGCTCTGTCAGTTTGCTCTCGGACCACAACTCATCATATCCGACGACGTGGACTGTCCTCCGCTACAAGCCCGGAGGTTTCAGAATCACCAGCAGCGCCCAGATGGAAAGAGACACCGCCTTCTATGAAGGCTCCCGTACGGCTGCGGGGGAGCCCGGAGATCCCAGAATATCCCGTCAATTCAGATCCGACAATCCTGGATCGGTTCTACATTCGAATGCTCGGCCCCGAAGGTGACAAAATGCTTAGTGACGAGGTCAAATGGCAAATTGTTACGCATAAAAGCTTTGACCAGGGGCGGAGAGGCTTCAATGAGAGATTATCTTACTTGGGTATGCTCAATGTTTTCCAAATATTTCTTTTCTTTTAAACAGCCGTTTGCTGAATTAAATATCACAACAGGCAAGCAAATAGTGCAACTACAGGCTTCACTCTCCCTTCTAGAAAGCGCGTCAACTTCTTCTCCGAAGCAAGAAGATCCTTATGGGCGTGCTCCGTTTGATCATCCATCTTTGCAGGGCTTGGAGGTTCTCACGCAAGACAACAAGAACATGAAGTTAAACCGGACGAAGATTGCACAACTCGCACATCAGTATAAGCTGGAGGAGGTTCTGAGATGGGTACCAAGATATGTATGGAAAATGCCCTACAGACTTTTACAGGCCATCACATACTGACTAATTGTTTTCAGCGCAATGATCTTGTGGAATCGGGGTTGGAAGTTGTCCTAACGCAGGCAATATACGCAGTGGTTGGTGCAGTTGCGCTGGAAAAGGGGGGAGTTGTTGCCAATCAAGTAGCAAGGGACTCTGTACTGAAGCCTTTGGGATTTGAGGTTGGCATGCCATGAGGGTTTTATAGGGCTTTGTTTGCTACAGGATACTGCATTTTTGGACGGCGTTTTTTTCACTTGTATTAGAATTTACATTTCAGCTATTCAAGTATAACAGGATTTCAATATATATGTTTTTTATTGTTCATTTCAACGGCTTATAAACCTAGCAATTTTCTGTCCATTGCATATATATCTATTACAAATTTATGTCTGATCCCTCTGACACCGCCCGCGTAACCGAAATATACACAGCCAGTTCTTATGGAATCCCCGTTGTTCAGTCTGCACACCACCTTATCGCAAGAATCAGCAATGGCATAACCCGAGAGTTGAGCACTGGCAGAAAGCCAGAGTCAGTTACAGGGAAAAATTCATGGTGATTTTTTTACGTTGACTTGCACTGTCTTTTGGGTGCGCGATAATGTAACAAAGAGAACGGAAAAAGGATTCAAGTAAAAGAGAATTTTTATGGAGAGCAAGGGCGCTAGTCTGCATTTGGCCATAGTGTCATTTTGCAGAGGAGGAGAAGAACGGACAAAGACACTGAACAAGACATTTGATATTTCGAATTGCTACCTGTTGATGAATAACAACATGCGCTCTTCGATATTGTGTTCTGACTGATACCCTCCTGGCTTTTTACATGTCACCTTCGATGGCTCAATAAGCTCATAAATCAGATGAACGTTCCCAACCTCCATTGTTGACCGACTCCTTTGATACCCAACCCCACCCACATCATGGCGTCTGCGATATTTTTCCTGGACCTGAAGGGCAAGGTATGGTGGTTTCGGTCAAATATGTGGCTGAGAGCATACGAGAGCTCGTCGTATCCGCTCACTACGATCGTGTTTTGGGGGGGATTTTAGCTAACGGTTGTTCGATTCAGACCCTTCTTGCCCGCAACTATAGAGGAGATATTCCCATGTCCGCAGTCGAGAAATTTCCTATCCTCCTTAGCGAAGCAGAGGAAGAGAGCTCTGCTGTTCCTCCATGCTTTTCTGATGAAGGCATAAACGTACGTTGACTCCGTTTCTTGATATGGCTGGTCGCATTATGGTATACCCTGCTCCTATCTCTCGCAAGAGCCTATATTTACGACTATTCGGAACTGCTAGTATCTTTATATCCGCCATAGCAACCTTTACGTCCTCGCGTTAACGAAACGGAATACAAATGCAGCAGAAATCTTGCTTTTCCTACACAAGATCGTCGAGGTCTTCACCGAATACTTCAAGGAGCTGGAGGAAGAGAGTATCAGAGATAACTTTGTTATCATTTATGAATTGCTCGACGAGATGATGGACTTCGGCTACCCGCAAACTACAGAGTCTAAAATATTGCAAGAGTATGCATTTTGTTATGCTATCGTTCCACCAAGCAAGATAATACTTGCACCAGCAATCTCCTGGCGCAGTCCCGGGCTAACTCTAATTTCAGGTACATAACGCAAGAATCACATAAACTTGAGATACAAGCACGGCCTCCGATCGCTGTTACGAATGCCGTGTCATGGAGAAGTGAAGGAATCCGATACCGCAAGAATGAAGTGTTCCTGGACGTGGTGGAATCCTTGAACCTTCTTGTATCCGCCAATGGCAACGTTCTCCGATCCGAAATTCTGGGGGCCATCAAAATGAAGTGCTATTTAAGTGGTATGCCAGAATTGAGACTAGGTTTGAACGATAAAGCAATGTTTGAAACAACAGGCAGGGCAACGAGGGGTAAGGCTGTTGAAATGGAGGACGTAAAGTTCCATCAATGCGTTCGATTATCGCGGTTTGAGAACGACCGGACCATCAGCTTTATTCCTCCCGACGGAGAATTTGAACTTATGAGTTATCGTTTAAATACTCAAGTGAAGCCTCTCATTTGGGTTGAATGTGTGGTGGAGTCTCATTCAGGTTCACGCATTGAATACATGCTTAAGGTAAGCACATGCCTTAATTGCCTAGGCATACAGCCCCGTTCTGGAATACGTTAGTCTTATGGATACATAGGCCAAAGCCCAGTTCAAACGTCGGAGTACCGCGAACAATGTTGATATTTTAGTCCCCGTTCCAGAAGACGCTGATTCTCCGCGATTCCGAACTAACATCGGTTCTGTCCACTACGCACCAGAGAAATCTGCAATAATATGGAAGATCAAACAATTTGGTGGAGGAAAAGAATTTCTGATGCGTGCTGAGCTAGGATTACCGTCAGTGAAAGGCGACGATGAACATGGAGGCGGTATGACAGGTGGATTTGGAGGTAGTATGGGAGGAGCTGGACAGACTGGGAAAGGCAAACGTCCCATCAATGTCAAATTTGAAATTCCATATTTCACCACCAGTGGAATCCAAGTCCGTTACCTGAAGATCATTGAACCTAAGGTAAGTGGCATGTCAGACTTTTTTTTCCCCCGTTTCTTTTTTGCTTTTTCCTCTCTCTCCACGCTTTCCTGCACGGCGCAAGGTGCCAATTACCCGAATTCGGACACTTGCATTCTGATCATGACCTTGCACCTGCATCACTGGATTCATCAAAACATCGGCATCTGAATCCCAAATTCCTAATCGCAACCATCCCTGCCCCTTTGTCCTCCCAGTCAGCAAGCACCAACTGATTTCCGCTTGTAGCTCCAATACCCATCGCTCCCATGGGTACGATACATCACACAATCAGGCGATATTGCGGTCCGCCTTCCTGACGTGCAATGATGTAGCTAGTCAACAAACAATGCAACTCGCACAAAACACGGACCCCAAGGCCAGAAGTAATGTGCAAAAGAGCCCATCTTTTTACAATGCTCTGAATCCAACTTGTTTCCTTGAATCCCATCAGCGGGTAAGGGCCAAATCATTACATCCATGCGTTTTATTAACTGCTGCTTCACCGCCTTAGCAAGGACAAAGCCACCATTTTACCCATTTCAGCTAGTTGCACCCTTACCAATACATGTACAATTAGGCCCAATAACTGCACTACCTACAGTGGGGGGCCTTGAGATTAAAACCCCCCCTTCCGCCGAGATCGTCCTAACTATATTGCTCATTAACTAGCATAGGAGAATATGATTAATACTTTATATACCCCCTTTCTGCCTCTATGACTGCCTTCACCCGGTGAGGCATTGTAGTAGAGAGATATAGAATTCTATCATCAATGGCCTCCCATTCCTCCTTAGCTGCCTCTATTAATGCTATCTTTGTGGCTTCTGTACCTTGTGCATGCTCCAGCTCTGGATGCAGATTATATATCTCCTTCAGCGGCGCCCAGAGATTCTCTTCATGATTCAAATCAGGAGAACAAGGATGCCAAGGCATGATCTTTATATTCATCTCCTCAAGAACCTCCTTAACCACCTGAGCTGTATGAACCCTGGCTCCATCATGCATAAATATATCTCCATCCTTCACAAATTCAGGTAAAAAGGCTCTATATACATCCTTTATAACCCTTGAAGAAAATCCTCTTGGAGCCTCAGGATCCTCATTCAATGGTAGTAAACCACTGCGTATTCTCTCACCAAATATAGCCCAAAACATCTGCTTAACACCCTTTCCACATCTTGCTGTATGAACATCTCCATGAACAAGCTGCTCCCCTGGCCAGTGGAATGTTCATATAGGTCTTATACCCTCTCCTCTTCAACTGTGCATTCATCAGACCATTTGACTCTTTCCCAATCACAGACTTGATAATGTTTGTACCGGTGATGACCTCATGATGAGGCTGTATTTCAGGGCGTCTGCATTGTCTCCATTTCTGTAGACTCATATGATGTAAAAACTTCTGAAGAGATCGAACTTTAATAGCATCATCCATACTGGCAAGATGATCTTGTTGACTTATATGAGGATTCCCCAGCACTTGATTATATAGATTATCCCTGTTGTTCCTCTGTAATCTTATATGGAGCACCAGAGTGAGACTTGAATTCATTATTAGGGCGTGAAGCTTCCCGTCAGATAGTGATTTTGATGATTCCAAGAGGAATATCTGAATGATGATTATGAATATGTTTATATGACCATCTAATTTACTTCAATTCACATATATGTGATTGTGCTCTGCGTCGAACTCTAAGACAGATATATGGCATCCGTAGTTCTCGGGTTTCAGGTAGGAGAACATCAATCTTCACCAGCCATGCTGTTCACCCCTCCCTTCGATTTCAGCTCGCACACTCTCTTTTTTGCAGTCAAAGGGAACACCAAAGAAATGATCTTTTTGGGGGCCATAAAACAAAGAATGTTGTTGAACGGCGTTAATGCCGGCACCTTGTGGTTGCAAGGTGGTGATGAAACCAACACTCCACATGAAACATCCAGTCGATGCTATGTGGGAAACATCTTCCGGGTTTGTCGCGGGAAGCCAGTCCTGCTTAAAGTCACAGTAGACATAGTGGTAGCCGGAATATGATTGTGTTGGTTGTATAATAAAATTTCAAAGCTTGGTAGGTGAGACGGGAACTTTGAACTACGAAGACATGCGGAAGATATTTCAAAAATCGATGGCTGTTTGGTGTGAAAACTAGTGAGGATTAATCACTACAATGGATGCATATACTAAAGTAATTGAAATGAACCCACTAAGCTTTTAGAACAGATTTAAAATTCAGATTGACAGGAAAAGATCTAAACCTAGATCCAAGATTGACAAGTGGCCATTTGCTTCAAGAAATTCTGTTCGGTTATTATGCATCGATGACAAAAAATTTCCCGACTTCATCGAAATTCATGAGCGCAGGAAAACTTCCCACCTCGCCCTTTATGTCACCTTTAGGTCATAAAATTGGCTATGCTGGAGAAAATTAAGAAATGGCATCGATCATGATATGTTGGAAATAAAACCATGTCCATCACCCTTCCAGTTGTTCATTTCCATCGCCCTCTCAAAAAGCCTTTGGCGCAACAGAAAAACGTCTATGTGGTTACCTGACGAAAGTGATAATTGTCGAGGGTAAAATCGAACCCATGAGGACAGGAAATCTACGTGACAGTCGAAAAGAAGAGTTGGTATCCAAGAACTTCTAATTGGCCAGCATTGTTCAGCCCATATAAGTCGGCACCAATATATCATATAGTAAGGGTACATGGAGAATAAAAAACATAACACCCAGGGGAAGCCGCGAAAGTCGCCATTTGGGCTTCATTTCAAAACCGCGAGAAAGGTTGCGGAATCAGAGGAACAGATCTGTGTGGAGTCTGGTTACAATTCGGCATCGCAATGAGAACTCAATTTCAAATACTAAGGTTCTTCCGCAGCATAGCCTGAAGAGCAATCCTCTGGAAAAATGGACCTTGTTCTCTACCCAACGTGGGGCAAAAATACTTGAGTGCGGATGGTGAAACTGAAAGGGGAACTGCATCGTAGCCCCTTCTACCAGCTGGACTAGAATGTTCAGTTGCCTCTGTTGATACGTGCATTCGATGGGAGGTAACTGGGTGGCCAATAGCATATAATGTCAAGGTAAACACCAGTGTGAAGGAATTTAAACGCTATAAGAAGCCTGCTCAGACTTAAGGACAGAGGTAACGAATATAGGATGGTAATTCCATAAGAAAAAAGAAGTTCATAAACACTCCACTTCACAGTCAGAGGAGAAGGGAGGGGAAATATGAGTAACAGAGAGAAGAGGAGGACATCCCATCCTCGATAATAGCAACTTACATCGCCCTCTCTCCAAAGGAAAGACACGTGAATGCAGCTGACATTGGTACAGCAGCAGGTGCACCATGCCCTGCTTCTCCTAGCTAGTTGCCTTCCGGTTGCCTTTCCCTAACTGTTCATCAGTTGACGTAGAAATCTATTCCGGATCAATGGTGTAGGTCAGCTTCCGAGAACAGAAACGCTTCTCAGAGTTAGGCACTTACTAGATTGCTTTTTGTGCTAGCTTTGTACTCCAGTTCATGAAGGAAGGCTCTAGACTTAGTCGAAAGTCATGGGGATGCAATCCCATGCCTTGAGGGTTGAAAAAATAAGAATTGAAATTCGATCCTAAGGCTCCCCTGTTTTGACCACGTTGGCTACGCTGCCACAACGGTTTTCTTTTCTTTGCCTTCTTTCAAAATATCTTGGCCTTGATAGACTTTCATCAACTGGTTATACTATCAAGGTTCCTTGATATATCTGTATCAGTTGATGCATGCCGAAGTCTGAGATGTTTTTCATGCGTGTTGTTCAAGGATCTGCGAAGCGAGACGCATGTTTTCCATGTTATCAATTCCAGAAAGTATGATGCGCGGGTTCGATTGATTTTGGAGGGTTGTTCGACCAGCATGCTCACTTCCCCATGTTGTTTCGTTGAGATGTTCACATTGGAAACAGAGAAGCTCTCTAGCTTGGACCTGTTGGGCGGTTTGGCGCATTTCAAAGCAATCAGTAAACGCAGTGCTGCTTCCGCTAATTACTGAAAAAGGAATAAGGAAAAATCTAGGGCGATGTCTCTAGAATTCCCGACATCATTTCTAGCTTTTGACAGAAGATTCAAGCACTGTGAATTGTTCGAGTCACGATGAACCAATCTGTTTGTCAAGTTCTGGTTAGCTTTTCAAATAAATAACTGAGGGAGGCAGCGCCGCACCAACAACCGAACAGATGGAACGAGTCTTGTTCATATCCAATCTAGTAGAGCTAATCATGGTAGACAACGGACGAGCCGAAGTTTGGAGGTTGAAGATGTTAAAAAAGGGGAGAGGCTAAATAATTAGTTCGGTAGTGCTTAGATATTTAGGTAGTTATTAACTACGTCTGGACACCACATTTACCCCGTTTTGTCCAACAGCTGGCATCTCCAGCTCTTCTGGACTCTTTTGCCCTCTCCGCTCACGACTCATTGGTTTCTCATGCAATGCCATGCCTTCTGCTGTTGTCTGCCACCTAAATACCAATATGGATCTGCTCTCCTACCCTCTTAGTTAACTATATGTTTGCACGGCAATGAGAATTGGATGGGAAAGACATTGTCGTAAGGCCGGCATACTGATATCTATTGTATCACTTCACTTATATCAATTCTTTTATGAGTATCTTGGAATAGGCAGATAATTACAATGCTGGGTTAAGTCTCTGCTTGGATAGAGGAGTCGAAAAGGTTGGATCCATCAATTTTGTCGACAGGCGTAATTCCCACGAGGTTACAATGAGATTTGGGAACAACAGGGTGAATGATGAATCATCTCTTTCATACCAGCTATTGCAGAGAGAATTTTGGACAGAAACTATATTTTCCTAAACACTCTACTGGGTCTAGAAAGTTGAGTTCAGAAATTGAGCCCATTTGAGCTGCGACATCATTGTTTCTTCCAAATGCTTGCCTAAGTATATCCTTCATATATTCAGCCCCCCTAGACTAAGAGTGTTACCTTATTGTCTTATTTAGGTTCTTATGCTGATGGACAGTACTGACTCGCGAGTTTCCTAGGCAAAGGCAAATATCGGAAAACCGGGTGTTCATTTCGATCTCATATTTCTACATGAGAAAGACGCCTGTCTGGAATAATTTATCATTTGGGAAGACGGCAACCTGTTCTCTCTCAAAGACATAGTACAATTTGAATTGCAAAACTAACAAGCAAGAAACGGGATAGGAAATATTCAGCAAACGATAATATGAAACATTCAATTCAATCTAGCCCTCAAATATTTCCTCGTCGCCCTACATAACCTCATTCCAGCAATGCCCACGACCAAGAGCTTTGTCGCAATCGCTTCCTGGGAAGTTTCTCCAGGTTGGGCCGTTTTTCTTGCAATCCGAAAACCATCCGTTGTAGTCCATGCAGGTGTCACTGCGTCGGCTGCATTTTCCATGGATATTGTATTTGTTGCTGCAGTTCGGCCCTCCGTGGTTATTCATGCAGGCTTTTTTCCCGTCGCGTTTCTGAAAACGCCCATGGTCGTGATCTAGGATGACTTTGACACCGAAGTCATATACAAAGGTGTTCCCGTACTGGGCGTGCGGCTTGGGGGCGTTCTCAAGGTAAATGATACCGTCTTTGATTATATTGCCTTCGACTCCGGTGACGTGTGAAGTCTGTTTTCTGCCCAGCACTGAGCAGTCTCGGTGGATTTCTTGGAGATCCAGTTCTCCTAAGTGGTTGGCTTCGTAATGCTTCCCACCGTGTGAGACAATGGCCCCTTCAACAGGGAAATAAATTCGGAAAGTCCCAGTGGGAGGATCATAGAAATAATTGCTTAGCTTTCCCCACTCATTGGGGTTACTCCTGTAGTGCTGATTCAAGTCGTTGAGTTCATGCTCTGGCACCTTGACTTTCTTGAAGCCGATCAACTTGATAGTATTGTTCGGGAGCAGGTATTCGAGTGAGTTAACGAAGCGCTCTTCGAACAGGGTGAGATCGCGTTCGGCGAGGTGGGCTTGCGCAGGGCTCCACGATAATGCGAAAGCCGCAAGGGAGAGGACCTGAGAAAAGGGCGTCTTCATCTTCCTAAGGGATAGAAAGTTTGGCCTATATTGGAATTCAGCAGTCCGAGTTATGAAAGGAAATCAATCTCAATAATGATCCTTGGGTTTCATACAACTGAATGTAGTCTCCGGAGAAGTATGTCCATCTTTATATCTTTCTTTATGACCTTCCATCCTGTAAGGCGCAGCGCTGTTCATCAATTCCAAAAACGAATCTTTGTGTCTCGTCTGCTGGTATCATACCCCATCTACGCAGAATGTCAATCCGCCGTTGTCGTCACTAAATTTAGTACTTATACGACGTGCACGTCGTTCCAACAAAGTATACGAGGTTGTCCGAGAAAACTACAGTCTCCTGGCCCGGTCCAATATCAAATAAGAAGGAAGAGATGTACCCTGGAAATAACCGTCTGCACTCTATTGCGTTATAGGTTTTTAGGTTCTTGAACCAAGGCTGCTCCAACATGGGCGACTTTGCACAGCATTGCCCAATCCACGCAGATCACTAACACGACAAGGACCCAGCGTTAACAATGCTGCATGACACGGCGGCGTTTGAAACGGCTGTTCGTTTAAAAACCAGGATGGTGCTGCAAATCACTCGCATGCTCAGGGCCAATTTCATCTGTGATAGGTTCTATCACAATCGACACTGCCCCAATAGCGTTCAATCTGTGGCTATGTACGCACAGCGAGGTTTTCCATGCACATATATTACGTCCCATATGGATGTTGATGTCACTGCCAATAGAGCCATATGAGAGATTTCGAAAGGAGTGGGGAATACACGGCAATGGCTGAATTCCAGCTGCACTTGAAAGCGGAGAGGTTTACTCACAAATTTGTTAACCCAAGTCGCTAACTCGTCCATCTGGAAATTATTAACTAGTAACTAACTAACTAACTAGTTAGTTAACAAAACTAGTCATCAAAGCCACTGGCATGCATTGGCGGCTCGTAGTTTTGTTTCTCCAAAGCTTTTTTAATTTTGCTCACTCCTGCAAAGATTATTGCTGAGAAGTTATAAACAAGGACACAAAAATCTGTGTTCAATGACATGATATTTCCAGGGAGTTCTTGATCCTGGACACCTGAGAGCCAAGCCGGATCTATCAAGCTGGCACCTTAATTCAACCCTTCAGGTCATGTCTGAATGTATTTCTGCCACCCTGCAAATCAATCTCTTTTAGTAACTTAGCTGACGATTTATATTCTACAATGCATGTTGTACCCTAATTCCTACCCCCAAGGTTTAAACCTTATTACCATGTCAAATAATGTGAATATTGAGCTTACAATATCTGAATTCTTCTCTCAGAAAGGCGTAAATTATGCTACTATTGCTAATAAATATGAAATTTACTACATGAACTACTTTTATGCAGCCTGTTATCAAATTAGTCTACTTCTAAAAAGACCACAGTCTTTATAAAGAAACTTTTAGATTTTCGAAAATAAAATAAAATAAAATAAAAAATAAGGAAAGAAAGAGTTTTTATAGAAATACATTAGCTTCAAAATAATTCTCTTTTACATTATAAATTCTTTAGAATCTTTGGAAATTTATTGAAAACTTAATTAAAAATCATTAAATAATAATTTTTTAATAATTAATAATTAAAACAACTACTAGTAACTTAATTTATATAGTTATATAAACTTATTGTAGTCATTGATTATTGTGATGGCGCCGCTGGCTACGGAAACTGGCATCGTCTGAAAAGGATAATAGAAGTTGCCTAGCAACCGCCCTACGGGAGCTGCCTAACAACGGCCTGGCAACCACTCCGCAAACAACTACCCCGTACAAAAATACCCACAGAAACTGCCTAGTAACGGCCTAGCAACCGCCCTACGGAAAGGGGTGTGTAAACAGAGGCTTCCCCGGGCTCCCGTTTCTTAGAGCATCTTAGTATTTCGTGGAAGTAGCTTACCTAGCTGGCAATCAAACGCCTGTTTACCTGCGCCTAGATTGAAGCCGTGACAATTATATACAAGTATAATAATAATAATAATAATAATAATAATAATAATAATAACAGCTATTGAAAATCAAAGATTAAGTTAAAAATTAGCTTATTTTATTTTAATTATTCAACCAAGAAGTAGCATTTTAATATATTTATATTTATGAAGTAAACAGATATCAGACTATATAACATTTCTCATACAAGTTTAAATTATTATGATTTCATTTACTTTAGTTGTACAAAGTATATGTATAACATCAGACAAAGCTTACATTGATATCTACAAGCCCTGTATGATAAATCCAAGCAAGTCATGTAAGGGGTTACTGAATAAAGATTTATATCTCATGAATAAATGGTACACAATGTGGGGCGCCTCAAAAAGTGGTGAAATATGATTAACTTGAAATTGATCATTCTCACCTTTTGAAATCTCTTGCACAATCTCTGGAGGATGAGCACAGTTAATCCTCTTGATGTTTCGTTGCTTTATGTCTGGTATTGATTGCAGCAATATTGGAAAGCTAAGCCTGCCGACAATCCACGACTATATAACTAGTTATATTGTCAAATATGGTCAATTCCGACGAAAGCGTATGTTAGGATTTTGACACTCTGATTCGAACCAACCATGAGTAAAGAGGAACCTTACGATTTTTGTCAGTTTGTCATTTCTCCTCCCATTTTCTCCGTTACTGACAGTCGGTCTATTCTCACATTCAAACCTTATAAGCTGATTGGCTAGACAGCGATCTGATAAGATCGAGATTATTGATCGTCCAAGTAAGCTTACCCGACTTAAACTTTCGTTATCATCGTCTCCCCTTAACACCAAATGCACACAATACAAAATCAGTGCAAAGTTCTCAGGGCAGCATCTGTAAAACCTGAGTTGGCCACCCCATATTTTAAGCTTTCTTTACACGTCGCTCTGAGGCTTTTTTTTTTCCAATATGGTTTAACGCAAGGCATGTGCTCATCTGCTGATTGATGACGATGATGATGATGATGATAATGATGATAATGATGATAATGCGATATCGTTGTCTACTCCCATTTGACTCTGTAATATTAGTTCTGCATGAGTGTCCGCCATGCTGACTAGCCCAAAGCCGCAATAATAAACTGAAGACACTTGGGTAGATCATATATTCTGATATATCGTGCAATTCAGACATCATTTTGGCTGAGAGGGTATGAAATTGGATAACAGTGTGGCGGAACTCCTGGTGAGAAGAGCCAATTAACCGCAGATATAAACAAAGGAGCTGGGAGAAAGGGGAGTTCTGTGCTGGCTTATGCCTAAGTAGCTAATTGTACGACTTCTCGGAATTATTTGTAGGGCGAAAGGAGTTTTTTCTTGTTAATCTGAAGACGAAACGAATTACCACGCTAAAAATTAGTTGGTTGAAAATGAGTTCAAGGGCTGGAGGAAAATATGTGATGGTCCAAGGAACTTCTGGGTTGGTACAAGGGTAGAATATTTTCACCGCGAGTCGGAGTTAAGACATAGAGAAGGATTGCCGACTTCTGATAAAATTGTGTAGTTATATGTCCTCATAGCTTCCAAGAATCCGAAGAAACTAGTTTCGAGAGAAAATAGCTCTGCAGCTCCAAACGGAATGGGAGGAAAATATGAATTGCGGCAGGATATATGCACATTATTCAACTATTTCTCTGCCATGTTGCACTGTCCATTGCATTGGATTTGTAAAATTCCAATGTGAGTTGGCTCGTTGCTTTGGCAACTTAACAGCTCCGAGGGACCACAATGGCGGGGCAGCATGGCGAAATAAGGGAGAGAAACACAGGGAACCTGGCACTCCTCAATACAAACTTGGTACTTTGAACATAAATCCTGAATTCTAAAAGACGTGAATCACAGAGAGAAGCACAGCAGCACCTTGCCAAGGTGGATAATCAGAAAATATGGATTACAGATCGGGTGGTGGAAATCCTAAGAGCAGTCACTAGTAAGGAGAAAGGTACAGTTCATACATACATACATCCTAGGTACGGGTCAGGAGGTGGTAAAAAATCTGGAACATACACCGTATCCATGTATCCATGTGCAGAACAGCGGTTCATTTAGAATAGTTAGTTTACAATGTGCGGCTTACGTAGCTAGTCAGCTGCTTGGACATATTTCTTTACAGGGTCAGCGCATAACTAACCGCTGTTTGGAAAGTAGACAACCACCTGCGCAGGCGTCCGTAAAACGGTCTAGCAAGTGGTGGGGGTAGGTATCCAGCGCGCTGTGTAGCTAACGCTAGCAAAAACCAGCGAGGCGACTTTTAGTTACTCAGCCTGTTATTCATATCTTTGCTCTTTAACACTTTCCAGACATTCTCAGAATTAACTTCGACCATGATAAAACATCCAACTGTGAACAACCATAGAGCTTTCACCTTCTACCGACCTAGTGCTCTGTGGGTTGGTTGCTCAAATTGCGGTCGATGTGGCGTTCTCGTCCGTGCAGATCCTCGTCTTCAGCATTTATGTTGTACTTCATGTGCGGCTTGGGTTCTAGATGTTGGTGCCTTCTTCACTTTCGTTGTTATTAGTATCTGTGGGCATCTTTCCATGACGCTCTTTTCCAGAACCAATCGGTTGTGCATGCCCGGACTTCGAGTACGCTATGAAGGGTGTTGCAATTGGTATCACGCTGCTTGTTTTGACATATGGATATCGTATTCAGTGGCAGAGTAGTCAAGTTGTGGATTCGGTGGATATTCTACATCAATGCTCTTGGTTTGGGGGGTTCGCAGCCCTCATGGCGAACGAGTTCAGCTGCCTGACTATTAGTTAGTTACTTGTTGATAGCGGGGGCCCTTATTCCGGCAGGCCCGGAATATAACTACTGACATTGCCCACCAAACCTGTACCCTTCCTGGCTTCGAACCGCGTTCTAGGACCAATATCCGGATCGAGCTACTTGAACATTGCTTTTAGTTATCATACCAGTCATCTCTGGAGAAATTTTGGTATCATCATCGTCCTACCCGATGGCAAATACAGTCCCTGCTACCAGCTTGGAATATGGTCGAT